ATATTTTTTTTAAAATAGAACTAGCCTGAATATTTTTATTATAACATTAGCTCCCCGCCAAAGTAAACCGTTAACGCAGGCGGGTGCACCATTCCATTATCATCCATAAAAAAAAAACATTAGCTATCTGTGAGTAAAAGTCCGGTCAAAATCAGTCCAACTGTTTCAGAGATTAGCAAGAACAATTATTTGATGTAAGTATACGCATTTAGTGAAAAGCTGTTAATTTTAAATCACAAACAGACACTCATATAGAAATAAATATTTAAGTGTCTATTTGTAATTTCAAAGTAACATATATTTTTTATTAATGAACATATATGTACATATAAAAAGTTCTAGGTGTCTGTACCACAAAAACGGAGCTAGCAACAATTATTTTGGGCTGTGACGGTATCAACAAACGGTAAAAAGCTTCACAGTAGCTGCAAGTGATTTGTCGTTATTGACCTTTGATTCAAATACACACGGGTACATATTTTAACTGTGGCCGTTGCGTAAATATATGTTTTTTATAAAAAAAAATTGTAACCTACCTGAAATTACAGCAACTTCTTACATGTACATGATGTACAATTACGTGGAATTCAGAATATAAATAATTTTATGTGTAGCCGTCGTTTAGCTACGGTTGTTCGACAAAAAATTGGTACAATATGAAACCATGAGTCAAGTTGTTTGCTGAAACTATTTTGATTTGACAATATACCTGTATATTTTATTAAAGTTCATATTAGTTTTAGTCATTTGTAAATATCTTTAAAATTAAATATAATATTTATCATTTTCATGTATATATTCAACTTTATTTCATGTAGTCATAGGATGTTTGTCGTTTTTATTTTTAAAACTAATTTATACGTTAGTAGTACAATATAAAATAACACTAACACTACAAAGGTCATAAATAACTTTGAATTAATTATTAATTTTATATTTATTAAATGTAGATATCGTAAATTTCAATAACTATTAATTCATTAATGTTTCCAAAGGAATATATAAAATATTTAGTAGGATGCTATTTTTACACACTACAGAAAATTAGAGTGTTATAAGTCTGACATTCCTGTATATGTTTCTGTGCCTGTCTGCGATATCGTAGCTCCTAAATTGCTAACTGAATTGTTTACGATGAGCTTTTTGTTTGTTTGTAATCGACGAAATCAAAATGAGTGTCATCCTCAATTTAGGTCATTTTTTTATTCGGCAGTTACTTAATTCTTGTAATTATACTAATTTTGATCTCAGAAGCAAAGTTCGCGCTCCAATTACGATCCTGTATGTTTTCATATAGTTACCAGATGATTGACTCAATGTCACATCACAGTATTATATGAATGGAATCAATACCAGATATGCAATTACTTTGAATGATTCTAAATGATGTCATTTTATTGGTATTTGACTACTAATTTCAGTCAGTTATTTTAATTTAGACATTATTGACGGGCAATAAAATTTATTATTGATTGTATTTTTTGCGTTTACCTATTATATTGATATGAGATAATATTGTTACAGCTTCATCATTTAGAACTAGCTGTTACCCGCGACTACGTCTGCATAAACTTTCAATATAAATTGAAGACTATTTCAGCCCTTTCACGTTTATTTTTTTTAATTAAAAATAGTTGGTTTTCACAATCATAACATTATCATAGTATGGACTCATAAGTAGTAACAGACCCGCCTAAGTCTGGGTGTTCATAATTTTGATAACTTTACATATATTAACTTAATATATAGCTCAAATTACCCTGGAATAGTTGTTCCTCTTACTTAGACTTTTATATTAATAATTCTGGAGTTTGATTATAATATTTCCATTTTATGTCACAGTAATTTCATTGCCATATCTCTCTAAAACTAAATATGTATGACTTTGTATAAAGTCAGCCACGGTAAATTATTAGTCCGTGCATTTAAATAAAATTAGTGATGTAATACTCATAAAATGTAGCTGTACCACTGTATATGTGAAGGAGTTTGTAAAATCGGGTATTTTAAGAATTAAAATAAAAAATAAATTCTTTATCTGATACAGTTTAAATAACTAAAATTAAGCGAGGGAATATTGTTTTTTAATTTGTGTCTATATTTATTTTAGTCTAGATTGGTCTAATTCATACCTGGATGATGTCAGTGCTCGTTCAATGTTAAATTTGTTAAATGGGCAGGAAATTAGTTTTGCTTTTTGTATTTGTAATTAAATTAAGACCTGTTTTAGGTTAGGAGCTTTTTAGGATTATGTGAATATTTATATATAATTATTTCTATTACATTAAATAGGGACTTATCCTACAGGTGGGCCATCAACAGTTGAATTGTATATTGGTTTTTTATCCAAACCAAATAATTAATAGTTAGATTTATTATTATATCGTACTCTGTAATTTCACTATCCATCCAGCAGGAGTTAGCTTCCTTTCGCTTCATAAATTCTTGCGATTTTTTAACTACTCTATTGTTGTTGGCTGCAGCAGACCTTTACAACTTTACCAGATGAAAATAGGGACTAGTGTAGAGGGCGAGTTTTCTTAATGGCAGAAGAACTTCTGACTTATGGGGCCGCTGAATTCCAATGCTTAACTTTAATCTGTGGTCACAGTCAGGGGTCCGAACTACGGCTCAGGCTGTTAAAATTTCGATCTCTATTAGAATCAGGGACAAGGAAATGGTTGTAGGAGAACATGTGACAAGGAACCTATTTTTTTTTGGATGATAATAGAATGGTGTACCCGCCTGCGCTAACGGGTTACGCAGGTAGGAGGATGATAAGATGAGCATGAGGTCAGGTCAGTTAGCTCATTGTGACAAATTCACCAAGAATTTATCATGATGTTTTCCAGGGGAAACCGCGTGGATAAGGGACCAATTATAGGAGACGGGATATACCCATACCCCGTCCTATTCGCCTTCTACTCTAGTCCCCATGTTATGATGTAGGTAATATTCGTCAAAATGTAACAAACTGGACTAGACTACAAAGGAATATTAAATCCAGCAAATATTGCTAAAATACCGACAAGTTTGTGAATATGTTTGGCAAATAAGTATTTAGTACCTCGTTGTTAAGTGCGAATTTACATTTTTAGACTTCGATTTTAGGGCTTTGGTTGACTATATAAGCGATAGCGATTTATGTTGTTAATACAACATAAATCGCTGTCGCTTATAGAGGTAAAGATTTTTAATATATATATATACTGTAACAAAAATTGCTTTAATAATAAGTATGATTTATTAATATATGCGTTGGGGACCAATGGCTGCAAATGTCTTTTGTATTTATTATCTATTATTTTTCTTTTTTTGTATGTTTATACATTTATATTTTATAGATATTTCATTCTAAGGTTCGTATCTGTATATATGCTATTTTAGATAATACTATCAATTACCTACTTCATCTGCTATTTTTAGATTAGTGATAGTCTATGTCCGTCGATGTAAAACAATCTTCCCGATAAATTTAATTTAGATCCATTCATACGTCTATATGTGAAAAGATAACAAACAAACAGACTTTGTCATTTATAATGTTAGTATAGTAATCCTATAGTAATATAAACGCTATAGTCTATCGAATACGTCCGTATCTCAAATGCATTAGTCAGTACATCAGCCTTGTATTGACGGGAATTTGCAAAAAATCTACCTTGAGACCACTTAGTGAACACATAATTCCTAAACAAATGCTCTGTAATCGTATTAGAAGTAGTTAGTTCAAATTTACAGTAAAAAATATTTATTCATTGGCCTCTTATTAAAGTCGTAATTTATTATATCTTTCCCTACAGTCCTGTTTGATTAGGTTCAAATTAATTCAAAAATTATTTATACGACATTTGAACTGAATTTTCTTATTAATATTTTTTCCCTACCATCCTATTCAATATACAGATTCAATTAAGAAGAACTGGCATGAAACACAACACATTTCTTTTTTTAATAGACAGTTTTTTTTCATTCTTACGTATGTAGATATCTAAGTCTTTAAGTGAGAATCCCGTGCATGAACTATTATTGCCATACACGTTTGATCAATTGGGAATAAGAAGAAGGTAATTTGTGTTACGTTATTTTTTTTATTCAATCGCAGTTCTGTGACTATTACACAATCGCGTCATGCTTATCAAATATAACGCTTTAAGCATATGTAATATCTACAAATAAATATAATAATTAATGAGAGTTTTTTATGCTTCCGTCTTGTAATGTATACACTGACAGTGTACCAATGAAGAATATAGGATGAACATGAAGTCAGGTCAGCTAGCACATCGTGGCGAATTCACCTAGAATTAAGCACGTTAGTTTCCAGAGGAATACTTTAAAGGTCGACTTGATAAACCACATAGCTGTTAATAAGGCAGCAGTCCCCATTAGCAACAGTCCTTTCTCCCCGTTAGCGAGAGTTAGGTACGTAATGAAGAATATGAAAGTAGAAATGTGGTTGATATGCGAACACTGCCCAGAATCTGCGGTATTACACAAGCTGGCTGGCATACCGCATACGTTTTTTAGAAAATCGTAAGCGAGTCGTTTTAAAAGATATATTAGGTTTTAACATTTCTATATCTTATTTGTTTATTTCTTTTAATTAATCAAGAGACCAAGATCTAAGTGCCTTATTGTCTATGATTATCTTTGATGGGCATGAATGAATCGGCGTTATATCAGTTATAAATAGTTTAAGTAGATTTAATAAGGCAATTGTCACACAATTTCTTCTGCATTTCTTCGCGTTAATTAGTGAACAGTGTCATTTCAAAACTGAGAAAGTACACGTCAAAGTACCTACATGTGTAAGGCCATGTGGAAATAATTCGGAATATATACCACCGTACCGTATATCAAATCAAAAATTTATTAGCCAAATAAGTGCAGTCGTTTAGTTGAGAAGTTATTGAGTTACCGAGGTTGATTGTATAAATAGCCGACTGCAAGCTGCTTGCTTTGTAAGATATGTTTCTGTTAAGAGATAAGATAGGATAGTGAAATTACAGAGGACGGAAGCATGAGGTCTATGTAGGTTGTCTTGAATTACAGCACATGAGGAGACAGTCATCGCATGACGATATGATATCCATACTGTTCTTCATATAGGTATTTGTTGCTACTTCCATCAGTTTCCTGTGAGTTTTTTAGACATTGACAGTCGAGTTAGACTGGTATTTTGTGCATTATTGAATACAAAGGCAACATATTACGTTGTCTGATGTCATCGCAATCAGCTAATCTGGAAAATAAACAACCAATTAGCAAGTCCAAAGTACAATTTTAAACGCAATGCAATCTTGCTGAATGCAGTACAATAATCCATCGCTGAATTAATGAAATTGTATCTTCTGGTATCTAGTTTAGGAATAGTATAAAGCAAAGTAGCTGTTTTATGACTGCCTCAACCTGTTTCACCGTTTATTTTATTTTAATCCATTGCGTGGACTAAATAAAATGAAATTGATATTGCAGTCTTAACACTTCTGACGAAATGCATATGAAAATATATACGGTACTTACGTAAAATATTAATTTTAAAAATTTGTCTGCCTGTTCGCTCTGGTTAATCTTTGAAACGGCTGGTCCGATTTTGACAGGACTTTCGCTCGCAGATAGCTAATATTATAATGAGTAACTCTTGTTTTAGACATTTTTATTTATTATAATAAAAGAAAATGAATGGATTTATTATAATTAAAACCATGAAGATAAGTAGTCGCAGGTAATTGCTAGTCTATACTAATATTGTAAAAAGATAAAGTGTGTAAGTTTAAATATCCATGGTAAACTCCGATACTACTGATCAGATTATGAATAGATATCTGATTTATCTGAGATAGCTATAGAATATCACGCTATGACGAATAGGAGCGAACCTGACGGAAACTGCAATAAAAATGTTACAAAAACGGGGAAAAATATCGCAGACGTAGTCGCCAATAAAGGCTATAGTAACAAGATAAAACAACAATGTAGGTAATATTAATAACGCAATAATAAAATGTATTTATTTGAATTTAATACAACAGAAGGCCTTCACGATTATTATTGGTGTAATTATTAATTAACAATTTTATAACGTATCTACATTGTTTCCTTAATGTTCGTAAAATGATTTTCTTTAATCAAATTGTTTGCTTCCTATTACTCACAGTTGGCTTATTTTATTTAGATCAGTTTGTTATTTTATTTCAGAGTAGCAATTGAAAAAAGGACTATATTTAGAACATGAAAAATAAACAATAATATACCTAACTACATTAGAAACTTTTAGGACGAGCACAATAGATCTATGCAGGTCGCAGTGCTTTAAGTCTTAGCACCTGACAACATCCAAAACCTCCAATTAAAAAAACCCTTAGCAACTAGTGCCATATCTGGGGAATTTATTTATTTTTGTTTTTTTTTTTAACATGCATAAGGTGTCACCTATATTTTTTTAATTTTAATTTATAAATGGCGTAGGGAAAAGTTTCACAAAATTAATTCTTTAGATTGGAAGATATTTTACGCATGTATTATATATCAGCATGCCTCTACTGGACACAAGTTTAACATGTTCTATGAAAATTTTATTGTAATTATTTCAACCATTTTTACGTGAATCATTAACAAACAAAGAGTTTTCGTCCCGTTACGATTTTTTCGTCTTGTTTCTAGATGAAAAAATCTATTATCTAGGTGAAAGTCCCTTTACAACTAGCCTTATGTTTACTACAAATAATTTCCATGTCAACATTAATGTTGCGATATATATAATCTGTTTAAAACCAATCTGTGGTACAAAAAAATACCATACCATGATAACAATGTTAATAACACCTTCAAGTAAAATACAATACATATGTAACGCCTACCTTTTGAGGTTGTGATCGTGTCAAGCCTAGTACAAAGTGAAGCAGGGTTGCCAACATTCAGACATTTAGCCTCGGTATCATTGCCTTACCTTTATCCCATTAACTAGCTGACCCACACAAATTCGTCTGCATTACTCTTATATTTATCATATATAATGATTGACACAATGTACATGGGTAGTCAGTCTCTTTTTAAATTATAGCCTGTGTTATTTTTTTATTTGCTCTTTTTTTTCGTTTGTTGTTTATATTGTATTTTTTACATTGCACTGAATAAAATATTTTTCTTTCTTTCTTTCTTATTCTGATGTATAAGCTATATTACTGTAAGGTTTCATTACTTTTAGTATTTTTGTTTGAAAGAGTAACAAACATCTTGGATGGATGTTTGTTACTTTTTCCATTCATCCGTACTCACCAACTTTTGCGTTTATAGTATTAATAAGATTGGTGTTGCCATTATCTTCTACCTGTCCTTATCTACTCTCTTATTGTGTATATTATTTTCGCACAGACAATAACTTAGCCTCGTACGCAGGAAAAAAATGTGATAAAATCTCGAATATATTGTACATTCTCATATTTGACCGATTTTCGTAAAATCGTATACTAATTTGTACGTGGATTAAAATATCCTCGAAGGCCAAAAATCTTTTATATATACTAAGATCCTCGTATAATTAGTTTTACTGAGTTGTGAAGCTTCGCCAGTATAACTATCTATCTCAGATATCTGCTATATTTTTTTCAAAATTCTCCTAAAATTCAAATTTTGAAGAAAAATACCTTAACTAAGATCATTCCTTAAGGCACGTGATTATAATCCAATATAGTAGTCTATACTGTTTTTTTTTATATTGAATCTGAATACCTTTATTTTATTACGCTTTTCTGTCCACAGATCTGATCTGTTTTAGCCAGCACACTTGTCTTCCTATTTTTATTTACCCCTCCATCCTCCTGTTTAAATTTTCCCCACAATAATTTCCACTAAATATCCCCCAAATGAGGTAAAACACCTAAACTGGCATCACTGAGCCTCGCCTATCCCTTTGTAATGTCAATCAGTTGGCAGGTGACCTTACCTAGTTAACAATGAAGTCATAACTCTGAACATCACGGCAAACACTTTGATTCTCCACTATGACCATAAATAATAATATTTGTTGATGTTGCAAGTGTATAGATTTGTCGAAATGATTGATGAGCGTTTGTTTAAAATATAAACAGATCGGGGCTTCAATATATAATGTCATTTTTTAACTGGAATGGGAAATATGGTGACGATAAGTGTCAATAGGCGCCTATACTAGATGCTTTGCCACGTGGAAAATATAGTATAATAGGTAATATAAATACTATTGATATTTAAATATAAAAAAAAAATATTTATTCGGCAGAAGCCCATATCATAATTCTAACATTTTAATTACCTTTTATTGCAAATAATTCTGATTTTAGACTATAATATTCTTTTATAATGAACGAATAGATATGATACTCTAAGAATAGGAATTATTTATTAATGCCAATTGAATTACAAGAAAGAAATGCTTTTAAAGGATACTTCATTAAAGATGGCGAAAGGGCCGGTTCAGCGTATGCGGACAGGATGCTCCTGTGCAGCGTTGGTTTTCATAAGCCATAGCTGTTCTTGTTTTAAACTTTTTTCACGGTCATTTACAATCATATCTCATTACATAAGCGAAATGTTTACCACAATGACGCAGTCACAAACGTTTTGGTCACGGGTTCACTAGAGATGGCAGATGTAAATAAATAATACGATCTGACATATATGTCTACTTGAAAAAAAGAAAACGAGTAAACAGATTTGTCTAGTTGCGCACAACGCACAGCTAAACAGTCTTTTTTTAACAATCATTAATGTAATATTATGCTGACAGAGTTCCCAATAATAGATTTTCTCATATATCTTGCATACACAGACAACGATCACTTGCATTTCATTCATTTACTAGCCACAAGTCCCGACTTTGCACGGATGCATTAGAAATCTTTCAATTTCTTGGCTTGTTCTATACTATAAGACGCATGTATAGGTACATATAAACCTTCCTCTTGAATCACTCTATCTGTTGCTGAAAACTGCATTCAAATCTGTTGCGTAATTTAAAAGATAAAAGACAACAGCCAGCTGCGCCTATTTTTTTAAATACTATGTTAAGATTAAATTTTTATTATCCTAAACTTGTAATACAAGAGAACAAGAGATTAGAGAAAAGGTGTCAGAAAGTGGTGGCGTATGAATAGAATAGTGAAATATATATACTCGGTTAATAATGAAGTCAATATTATAAATAAAAAATAGAAAATAACACAATATGCTATATATAAAATATATAATAATAATGATAATAATCTCAGGACAATTCACACAGCGCCATCTAGACCCAAGTTAAGCTAGTTAAAGCTTGTGTTATGGGTACTAGATAACAGATATATTGTTTTTTGTAAATACATACATATTATACATAGAAAATACCCAGACCGATACAAACAATCATACTTATGAATACAAATGTTTGTGCCGTGCTAGGAATCGAACCCGCATCCATCGGTCGTAAAGCGGTGTGCTAGACCGCTAGACCACCGAGATCGTCGTGGTAAAAAAACATATAATCATTTTGATTATATGTTTTTTATATTTATTGAGAAAACTACAGCAAATATTTACGAGTAAATTAATTACTGTATGTTAAAAGCAGGATAGCTTTATGCGAGTACAGGGCCGTCTATCGTATAGTATGTATGTACATGCAAAATTAGCGAATAAATATATTTTTAAATTAATGAATAGATAAAAGATACGCATTATATTGTTTTCTTAATTGTGATGCTGTTTGAAATAGCCTCAGGCGTATTATAAACTATTATTACAGTATTATGATAATTTTCAATTATTTTACAATATATTGCTATGAGATGCTCAACAACCTACTTTATAAGGTTGCGAGCCAAGTGCATTTGTGCATTATCAATAGTATAGACCAGCGATTCTTAACCGGTGGTCCGCGGATTACCTGGTGCTCCAGAAGCACCTAAAGTGACCATTCCTTAAATAGGATAAAAAATTAAGATGCTGTTAATTTTGATCCTTTTTATGCGTTATTTTTATATATAACATATATTATGGAAAATGTATTTACGCTAATATTTGTTTAATTGTAGTTATAAACAAAACATACAAACACAAAGAAAATAAAAATAAATCCCCAAGTATGACACTACTCTGCGGTGCAGATGAACAGACATTAATTGTAGCATATTATAGTTCCGGAAGGTAAACTATATGTTGCTGCCTCCTTTATGTTTAAGTTCTAATAAGCGGTGGCAAGATATTTTTGCAGTTTAAAGTCATATCCGTCAGGCAGTCCTTCCACGGATTTGGCGTGCCATCTGCACTCACCCCTATCGCATTAGAGTAGCCCGAAAAAAAACGAAAATGTCATGGGTTCATATTACAATTACAGAATACTGTACTATCCTTAGTTTTCATTTACCATTAAATGGTAAATGGTTTCAGGTCTTTAGATCAGATCTAATAAAGTGCAACCCCTCTTTCAATTATAGTTACGTACTCTAACAGACAAACTGCTTTCTGCGCTTTTGCTGCAGACAAACTGCTAAACAGTTTTGCGGCTTATTGTTTTTATATTATATTGTATAAATTTGTGTGTAAATAAATAAATAAAAGAAAAAGAAATCCATGGCGTAACTAAATTTTCAAAAATGGTCACCCATCGCTAAAAGTTAAGAACCACTGATAGATCACTGACAAATCAAACTTGCATTACCATATTACGAACTCAAGACCTTTATTGTATATACAAACCTTGAATTATTACTAGTTTATTACACTGCAAGGTTTTTTCTGTCTGCGTGGGGTACCTTTGTGTTACCTATTTTAGCCCCTAAGCAGAAGATATGGCAGTGAAATTATAGGGTTCGGAAACATGACAGCCTAGTCCTCCGAAATAGCAACGCCAATAGTAGTTAGGTCTATGGGCGTTACATGATGCCATGATATTCGTGGTAGACTAAAAACTAGGGTACAAACGCTCTCAAAACAAAATTTAATTATTAAAATAAATAAATAATAATAATTATTAGATAACTTTATGAATTTTTTTCTTTCACATATTATGTTATCTATATATCACATCTTATGTGCCTTCACCAATACATTTTGTGATAATTTTTATTTACGTAGACTTGTCTCTACTTGTTACAGCGAGTGTGTGGTAGACTCCAACAATCCTAATCAAGCCATATGGAGTTGTGAACAGGAGTTGTGCCTGATATCTGACGATGTGATCTCCAACGTCAACTACGGCAGCGAATCTTGGAGAGCCAGCAACTACAGTGAATTCTCTGGCAAGAAGTTAAAGGACGGCATCAAGTACAAATTAGGTAAATTACATTCTTTTCTAGAGAGGAAGGGTAAGACCAAGAAACAGCTATATCGAGGAGGTTAAGGAAAAAGTTGGAGTCGTGTCGTATCAACAACTAAAGAGATCGATGGAAGATCGTGGATAATGCCAAGAGCTCCAGTGAAAAGAACGCAGCTCTTAAATTATGAATGATTCTTCATTCTTTTTTATGTAATTGGAGTGGCAAACAAACTGATTTATCGATATGAACAGAACCATGATCATATAACGCCTGGTGACCACTTTGGCGAGACCATTCCAGACGACTATGATGTCATGTCTTCTATCCTGTAATTAGTAAATAGCTACCAAATTCAAATTCAAATTCCAAATATCTTTATTCATGTAGGTCTATTGCAGACTCTTATCGTCTCTCGTCAAATCTACGGTCAGTTCGGAATGATATCGAGATGAGAAGAACTGACAAGAAGCTCGTATTCTTTTCAAATAAATGTTGTACAGGTTTACTAATAATACACAGTCATTAAAATTCAAATTTGGGAGAATAGAGTGACTATTAGCATATGCTATCGCAAAGAACAAAAAATTTATTAGTGTTCCCAACCTGAACAGACCAGGCACCGCCTTATTTCAAAGTTTTTCAAGACATTTCAAAGCTAACAAAGCAAGCAGCTTGTCGACTGAATTTGGCGTTACAGAGGTACACCCATGCTGACGACTTTGTACAAAGTTTAAATATAGTTTAATCATTAACTAAGTAATCTATACATACATATAAATAAAATTGATGTGTCTGTTTGTAATATTGAAATAACCATTTTTTACTACATCCACATGCATATAAATGCGGTACATACACCAAAATAACATTTTTTACAATTTTTGTCTGTCTGTCTGTTTTCTAATGTCTGAAATGGCTAGACCGATTTAGACGGGACTTTTTTGGCAGGTAACTGATGTAATAAGGAGTAACTTAGGCTATTTAGGCTTTCATTATAGAAAAATAACGTTAAATTCCTCGCGGACGTAGCGCGGATACAGCTAGTATTAAATAGAATTGTACCACCAAATCAACAGACAAGCAGACAATATTCTAAAAAGTAGGTTTTGTCCTCGTTAATGTATTTACAACGTATATATTTTTTTTAATTAGAATCAAAATCCCGTGTAAAAACATTACATATAACACGGTTGTTACAATATTATTTTATGTAGGATAAAATATGTAACACAGTAATTAGTCTGACCACTAAACTCCTGTCTGTGGCCTAGACGGAAATGAATCAATTGTTTTAAAATAAATCAAGTTCGTTTACAAAATTACAAACAAGAATTCTATATTAGGTTAGGTACTAAACAACTGATATAAATACTTTTTTTTTTAAATATATACATCATACTACATGAAAACAGCCAGACCAATGCAAAAAAAATAATACTCATGAATACAAATGTTTGCATCGTGCGAGGTTACGAACCCGTGACAAGCGAAAGAAAGGTGGTGTCCTAAACATCTAGACCACCGAGAGCGTCAAACTAAACTGAATATTACATAGTATTAAGTATTTTAATATTTAAGATTTAAAGTTGATTTTTCAAATGCAGTTGGAGAAAGTTTAAACTTTACTTTCACTGCACTGTATTAGTGCTTTCAATTCAATTCTGTTTATCACTAAGTTCGTGACTAGAATATAATTGGTTTCTGCTTTCCAGTTCACAATATCTAGGCATCTAAACCGACTCCATAAAGGGAATAGTACTTAATACTATTGTATTTTTCAACTGACTCCTAAATAGATTGTTCTCAATGTCACGGTTTCTTTGGTAAGACAAATATATTACTGATTATATATTGATTATTTTCAAAGGTAGTCTGTGATATTAGTATTCATATAGAAGTAGCAACCGAACCCGGCTTCGTACGAATGCATTACAAATCTAGCTGTTACACTAGCTGTATTTGCAAAAAAATGTATTTAAGTATTTATACACTAGTTCTTCTTAGCTTGGGACTAACGCTAGGTTATTATTTAATTTCAATATAATAATATCTTCACAGGTACATTCCCGTTAACCGCGGAGACTAAACGCATGGGCGCCATCAGATACGACAAGAACATAGCTTACCCAAGAGACTTTGACTCCAGGTCATACTGGCCAGGGTACATCTCGCCTGTCATCGACCAGGGCTGGTGTGGATCCGATTGGGCAGTCACCATCGCTACAGTTGTTTCCGACAGGTGAGACTCTTAAACTTAAATATAAACTTTTAATTACTAACTATCTTCCAGTTCTGCTCGCTGCCCCCAGATATATACGATACGTATGTAATACTTTCATTACAATATTCTCTTCATTCATACGCATTACATGCCCCATACCATGCTATATAGCACAACATTAGTATGAATTATTATTTTACCAGTAATAGATCGATTTTAGTTATAGCACCACTAAGTAACCTGCCTTGTTACAACTCAAGGCAACTCGAGATGACACCTTGTTATGCTGGAGTGCAACTAAAAATAGGCGACGTGCACTCAGCGGGTACTTGGTTCCGTTTCATTAACTTAGGGTACTTGGACACGATGCGAGAATGCAAGATGTTGTTTTAACACTGAAGTACGCCATGACTTTGAACATAAGTGGTCACTACTGTTTCCACAATGCCGGAAGAAATGAATTTTATAGTGTCACCTCAGAAACACTTTCTACTAGTGTTATCCTATTGTTCTATTTAATTTCTATTAAGTTCTGACCAGTAGTTTTTAGTTATTCTTAATTATGAGATAGATATCGTGGGCTGATAGCGTATTATTCCCATTTTTTTGTGATCGTTTGCAGTTTACCGTAAGTTTCATTAACTTAGGGTACTTGGACACGATGCGAGAATGCAAGATGTTGTTTTAACACTGAAGTACGCCATGACTTTGAACATAAGTGGTCACTACTGTTTCCACAATGCCGGAAGAAATGAATTTTATAGTGTCACCTCAGAAACACTTTCTGCTAGTGTTAACCTTTTGTTCTATTTAATTTCTATTAAGTTCTGACCAGTAGTTTTTAGTTATTCTTAATTATGGGATAGATATCGTGGGCTGATAGCGTATTATTCCCATTTTTTTGTGATCGTTTGCAGTTTACCTTAAGTGGTACCTATTAATTCTGTATCAGTATAATTATTAGTGTAATAGCTGATTTTCTACTTTATCTCTAGGGCTGGCGACGTACCTATTAAATATTTATAAACATGGAAAGATTTAACTTAAATTGGAAATTAGGTACTATTATACTGTCACCTCTATTATGTAGTTAGCTTCGTTTTTTAATTTTAATTTAAATTAATTTTGTATGCTCTTGTTTTTTTAACAACTCGAAGATTTCTTATAATACCTGCTAAGAATTTTTCGTTATCCTATAATTTCACCATACCTACAATTTCACATAATTACACCATACTATCCTATAACACTATAATATAATAACAATCTGCCCGCATAACCGAAACAGGTTACACAGATTACAAAATAAGCTACTTGGTGGCTGAAATAAACGTACCCAGTCCTGACGCCTTTTGACAAAGTCTATCTAGATTATCCCCTACATACACCGTTTAGAATGGTCAAACCCTAAATATTGGCAGCCCTATTTATCTCTAAGAATATAAATATTCATACATACAGACAGATAATATTCTTCTCATGTTACTGTATCATATTAAAATGCATGAGTAAAACATATCCAATATACATTGGAATCCCGTTGATTATTACATTTTATGTACTTAATCTACGAGACTGTAGATTGTACTACAGTATACACCAATTGCAATATTATGAATGCGAAAAATTGTTTCTGTTTATTGCCTCTCTACAACTAAACGGCTGAATGGATTTTAATGAAATTTGACGTGAAGATAGGTTGTATCTCGAGGAAGATCATGGGGAATATTTATATCAAAAAAGCAGACGAACATAGCAAACAACTAGGTACATACACAATATATGGTGAATAGATTTCTTCTAGATAAGTACGTTACATTCTAGATGTTGCTATCATTTTTTAACAGCTGAGATAAGACCAAATGCAAAACCCCATTTATGTTAAAAAAAAACAATGAATTAAGTCTTATTATTGTTTAATTATTCATACGATATTTGAACTTAATTCTATGTCATAACTGATGGTGATATTTAGTGGATCAACAGCAGTAAATATAATTTCTTCTTGGATACATCACATCAGAGTTGCATAGGTATATGTTATTACTGTTGCTAACGGTAAATCAGTAATGTAACGTATGATGGTTTAAACGATTTCATTTCATCAATGTGCCTAATTATAACTATGATGTAGGTACATATAAAATTTACAATCAATTGTAAAACACAATACGCCATCTGTGCTGTGCAATTGGGTAGCAAACACTGAGCTCACTTCAAGGGTGGTTGAACAAGCAAATAAACAGGAGTTAATGTGGCATCGGCTGGTATTAAACACCATTCATAATAAACGAAGCGTGACAAATAAACACAGACAGAAAAACACATCATGCTGAATTATATTTACTCAATTATTTTATATTTGAAATATAGTAAAGACGGAATTGTGAAATTATTATTTGTTTTTGTAATTAGGATATTCTTCGATGATAGTTTCGTTCAGAAACTTTGGTCGAATAAATTGTAATAATAATATTTCTAAACATTCAAGTAATTAACTATACGACATATAAAGAACAACAAATAACTCAGCAGAATTTGTATTATAGATACTATGTTATGATGACAAATAAACACAAATTATTCATATTCATTTGAATATCAGTAATAATAATAAATATAATACTCTTGGATAATTCACACAGTGCATAACTTGGGAGTGCCATCTGACTCCCAAGTTATACACAGCTTGTAATATGGTTGATATACAACTGATAGAAACACTTAATAATATTTTTTTGCAAATACAATATATTGGTATATAAATTTAGTCACAAGGACGTACGTAAGCTATCTTTTATGTCAAAAAATCACTGGTAATGACTGACAGATAGACAGACACATGTAATGATATTAGTTTAGATAGGTTTTTGAATGAATTTGAATCCAGCATTATACCACGCGGACCGTGCTGCGGCATTCAGATAGATTGAAATTTTTTGTAAGGACGGTAAAGGCGCACACGTCTGCGCTAATGGTATACGCTTAGCAGGCACCTGTAGATGACGATAGTTTGAGAATGAAGTCAGGTGAGCAGACCTACCCATCGTGGCGATTCTTAAAAAAATAACCAGTATTGTATACAGGTAATCCTTATTAAGTACTAACAACACCCACCCCGTATAATTAGTCTAATTTCTACCATTATAAGAAGGTATCTAAAGTTTGTGAGTTTGAATATTCGGGGTAATCTCCAAGAGGTACTACAGATATCATTTTGAAAATTCTTTTAGTGTTGGATAGCCTATTTATCGAAGAGGGCTATAGACTATACGCTACGACCAACAGAAGCGGAGCTGCAATAAATAATGTTGTAAATACCGGAAAAATGTAACGCAGGCGACGTTGCGCGGGTCAGATAACAGTGACATAAGAGCCAGTACATGCCATGTTGCACTCCGTCAATGTAAACAAACACTAAGTGAATCACCGCCGCTGGCTAATTTTGCATTTTAGCTCTAATATCGGATAACAGATGCTTTTAATTACTAAGCGGTAATTAGTGCTAACTGTTAGCGAATTAAAATATGCCGGAAAACCCAACGATCAACGATCACGACAGCCTGAGACGCGGATCGACCTAGAAGACCTAGCTATGTCCTCAGATTAAAGTCATATCTCGGTATTTGCCCGACAGGAGTAAGGGTTCAGCAGCTCTATAAATTCTTTTGCGGGATTGTGTCTGCACGCGCCTCTATTATTGTGTGGTGAAGTTGTAAACACCAGCTACGACCAACAGCATTAGGATAGTTCGAAAAAGGCGTTATACGTGATATCATAGCCATGTTTCTCTCTTCAAACCATCAACCAGAATACAGCTTGCATGTAACTGATGGGAAAAGTAGATGAAACGGAGCCACTTATCTGCATATCAATGACATGTTACAAGTCAACAACATTCATTGCTATGCGGATGACAGTACCGGAGATGCCTTGTACAGCGGCCATGCTAATATGTCGCAGGCAAAAGTTATAGAGTACCGGAACAAACTTGTATCTGAAATCGAAAGTTCACTCCATCCAGTTTCGATTTGGGGTCTGAAAAATTGTGTTCAATTCAACCCCAAGAAGACACAAGTTTGCGCGTTTACCGCTTAAAAGATTCCATTTATCGTATCTCCTCAGTTTCAAGACACTCTCCTTGATGTGAAGCCAAATCTCGAGGTCCTTGGCGTTGATATATCCAGTGACGTTGAGTTTTGCGGTCATTTGGAGGACAAGGCTAAAATAGCCTCCAAAAAGCTTGGTGTGCTCAGTAGAGTGGGACGGTATTTCACGGCGGCCCATCGCTTGCAATTATACAAGGCGCAGATCCCGCCGCATATGGAATACTGTTCTCATCTCTGGGCGGGAGCATCACAATACCAGCTACTTCCATTTGACCGCATTCAGCACCGAGCAGCCAGAATCATTGGTAATCAACGTCTATGTGACAGACTCGACCCATTGGCTTTGCGGCGAGATATTGCATCTCTGTGCATTTTCTACCGCATATATCACGGGGAGTGTTCTGAGGAATTGTTCGGATTAATACCAGCTGCTGAGTTTCACCACCGTACCACCCGCCAGAAACTGAAATACCATCCTGATCATCTGGATGAATAGCGGTCTTCCACAGTTCGGTTTTCTAGAAACTTTTTGCCTCGCACAACCACATTGTGGAATCACCTTCCAGCAATGGTATTTCCGAACCGATACGATATTGAAACCTACAAGAAAAGAGCTTATCCCTTTTTAAAAGGCCGACAACGTACTTGCAATTCCCCTGGTGTTGCGGGTGCTCATGGGCGGCGGTAATCACTTACCATCAGGTGAGCCGCGTTCTCGTTTGTCACGTGTTATAAAAAAAAAAATTATGTAGAAGATTTTGTAGTCTCCTTTTCAGTTACTATTTGTTTGAAGTTCTTAATTTTACCTGAAAAACCTTCATTGTGGATTTAGAACACTCTTTGTAAAAAAGTCGTATGCTAGGATAGTTCAATCACAGCTAGCCGCTTTTAGCCGCTTATCAAGATTAGATAAGACAAAGAAATTATAGTATTTGGAGGCGTAACATGATCTTTCAGAATGGCAACGCAACTGTGTGGTAACACGGACGTCTTGATAAAATGATATATTCATATACGAGTATATAAGCGACGGTTACCACTTACCATCAGGTGGGCCATCAGCTTGTTTGCTAATCCAATTAAATAAAATATTACAATATTTTTTTTATGTAAACCGGAGATTTTATAAATTGCAGAAGACAGTGCAACTTCCTATCTAAATTAATAAATAATTCTAAGACCTTTGTAAGCTGTACTTCACAAATATAGAATTTGAATTGAAAAAAGGAGGAATAATAATAATAACCCCAAACTAAGCAGAGTCAACATCATCAAACATCAGTATCTATTTTACTTTTCCGATAAAATTTTCTGCTTCTCAATATATTTATGAAAACATCATGTATGCCAGGAAGAATATAGACAGTTTCAAAAGAGTTAGTGATTGCACTAATAAAAGCTTACGTAACAATAACAAACTGATTTTACCTAAATGTCGTTTGGCTAAAGTTAGTAATTCGTTTTATGGCAATTGCGTAAGGTTTTACAATAAAATACCAGAGTCTGTTATAAATCTGCCAGAAAAAAGATTTAAATGTCAAATAAAACACTTCCTTTGCAAAAAAGCTTACTATAAAATTGAAGAATTCGTTAACGATAATAATGATTTTAAATACATAGCACTGACAATATTATCTGATTACACTAATAATGAGTGCGTAGCGATTTCTATGTTGATTGTCGCATGCCTCTTACTTGTTACACTGTAATTATTTATATAAAAAAAACATCTATCAAAAAGAGCAACACACAAGTTTCTTGCTCATTCTTCTTGTGATGAATCTGCATTCCGAATGAGTGGTAGAATCAAAATATGACTATTCAAAAGTGCTTGTAATGAGTTTATTTGAATAAAGATTATTTCTATTTCTATTTCACCATAAGTTAATTTTTGGCTCCAAAAGTAGTCTCCTACATTTATACACGTTTTACGTAAAATTTTGCTCATAGCGTTTTTTATAATAATAATAATCTCAGCACAATTCACACAGCGCCATCTAGACCCAAGTTAAGCCAGCTAAAGCGTGTTATGGGTACTAGATAACTGATACAAATACATAGATTTTTTGGAAATACCTACATATTATACATAGAAAATGCACAGACCGATACAAACAATCATACTCAAGAATGTAAATGTTTGTGTCGTGCGAGGAATCTAACCCGCGACCATCGGAAGTAAGACGGTATGCTAAACTGCTAGATCACCGAGGCAGTCATAAGGTTTATATTAGCATTTGAAATATTGGTTAATTGTTTTGTTTATTTTATTTATAATTAATATTTTTTTATTTTGTTATAGTAAGTATATAATTCTATTGCAGATTCGCAATCCAATCAAATGGTATAGAGAAGTTGGTGCTGAGTCCTCAGACACTGCTGTCATGCAACAGACGGTACCAACGAGGATGCGATGGTGGCCACATCGATGTAGCTTGGAACTACGTCAGGGAAGATGGGTAAGTAATAGGGATACTACTATCTGTAGAAATAATCGATTTTGCCGTAATTGAATATTTTACTACAACCAAAATTTTTAAGTCCTTTGGTCTAGGGGTTGTCGGGGTTTTGTAACTCTTGGATGAAAAATCGAATAAATAAAATTCATAAATATATTTTTTTGAATATTTGTAATCGAGAACGAAAATTTTTATTTTTATACTAGTAGCACTAGTGGAAGATACACTGAGTTTGAAGCCAGGTCAGTTAGCACATAGTGATAAATTCACTAGAGATGTTGATAAATTCAGGCCAGTTTGAGAGGATCGCGTAACGTACAGTATTCTTTGTTAAATATGTAGATTAGATTGAGGTATACTTTGAGAACCTACTATACATATCTCTGGTTAATCTATAGCAGCCAACAAGAATTGTAAGCTGTGTACCGGTTGATGGGTGAGATATGGGATTGAAATTAAAGCGTATAGATACATTACATTTTATTCCTTCGAAACGGCAACAAATGAGGAATACTAACTGATGATTAGATGTCCGTGGTGCTTCATGTATATTAGCAACTATTACTTACCGGTGGGCCGTAAGCTCGTTTGGTAAACATGTACCAATGACATAAAAAAATTACAGATTACTAGACGACAATTGCTTCCCGTACGTGGCTAAAGTGACGAACTGTCCAGTTAAACCGAAGAGCGACTATCTACCAACCATGTGCACACCTGACATCCCTGAAAGAACCACCAGATACAAGGTTGGACCACCCGGCAAGCTGAAGAAGGAGGAAGACATCATGTACGATATTATGGAGTCCGGACCAGTGCATGGTACGTTCTATTTTATCTAATTTACAACTTATACACTAAGCTAACATCAGCTATCATTAGCCCTACCAATAGGAAAATATGACACGACATTGAGTTTTATGAATGAAAATCAGAGGCGTGCTCTTTATTACGCGCCCTAACAAATACTCCATTCTACTAATCAAGAACGTCGGCTGTTTTTGATTGAAAACCAAAGAATAGGGTTGTCGATACTTTGTAATATCTGTTAAATTAATTACATATTAATATCTGTTTATAAAAAAATATCGCTTTCAGAAAAAATATGATGCGAGATCAATTAGTTATTAGTAATATCAGTTATCAGTGGTTATATGTTACAGTGCTAGCGGCATATCATACTCATTCCGACTAACCTTATATTTGTAGCTCGACTAGGCTAGGGTAGAAGAAAATCTACGTACTGTCATTTAAAACGGTAACTTTCATTTCCTCAGCTATAATGACGGTGTATCAAGATTTCTTCCACTACCGCGATGGAGTCTACCGCCACACGAGATTTGGTGACAATACTCTACAAGGTCTGCACAGCGTAAGGATAATTGGATGGGGTGAAAACAGAGGAGAAAAATATTGGGTAAGTTATCTTTTTTTTTTAATATAATACACCTTTATGTCTGTTGCCCTAAATGACGCTAGAGGTACTTTTTTAATTGATGATAATGGAATAAATGTACCTGCACTAACGGTATAAGCTAGCGGGGCACGAGTAGAGAATGGTAGGATAAGCATGAAATTAAGTTAATACATCGTGGCAAATTCAAGAGGATTTAACGATGATATTCATAAAATACTGCGTGGAGCTCAACATGAGACGAAAAATTATTGGTAATGGTTCCTATTACCCTACCAGTCCCTATGACTAAAAATCCCCTCACCCTGTGCATAAGATTGTCTACAGTTGTAAAACAACTGTTCCTGAACAATTGTGTACCTATTATTAATAATAAACGAACCTCCTATCTCCAGGTTGTAGCCAACAGCTGGGGCGAGCAATGGGGTATTAACGGCTATTTCCATATCGCCCGCGGTGAGAACGAGTCCGGCATCGAGTCATTCGTCGTCACCGTCCTCAGTGACGTCATCAACGCGAAGAAATAACAACCGAGGACACACCTCATCACGCCGCTGTGTGTGGTGACGAGAGTGGTGAGAACCAGAAAGGGATATGTTTTGTTGAATAGCACAAGGAATTTTGCTTGCCCATTTTAGAAATCTTTCGCAGTAATGTTTCTATTGAAGTTTGAACGTATGCGTAGAGCCTTATTTCGATTATTTCGTGAAACGAAAACAGTTAATTGATTCTTTAAGAGAATGCTGATATATATAGTAATGTTGCTAATGTTAATATACATTCATTATGTAGAGACGAAGACAAAAAAACACACATTATATTTATCTTCTAACTACTCTAACATTACTAGAATACACTAGAATTATCCAGTAATAGCAGCTTTATTTTAAACAAAGTATGTTACATCTGTAAAATGGAGTGATGCGATATACGCGCACCACTTTTGAAGGAATAAGGGAAGCTGCAGTTAAATATTATAACGTTCTTAAATATAAATAGATTACTAATGTATCAATATTTCAAACACTAAGTTAACTGGCACGAATAACAAAGATAGACAAATCACAGTGGACCACACATTATATAAGAATTACTGCGAATGAGGTTTTATAGGTGAATTTATAGATTGGTATTTATTCAATAAACGTATTTCCCTTGTCGTTTAGACACTCATTTCTTCATGTTCATCCCAGTATTGTATGATAAGGACTGGAAGTTCAACGGTGTTACTACTCTGCCGACATCCATACGTAGACTTATTTTATTATAATAAGTACTTAAATATATTTCGATCTCGAAAATAAATTTCGAATTAACCAATAAAACATCTATTATAATTCGTCTACATTTTCTATTAATGTACACGTAATTTTCATGTTTTGTAACTTTAAAATTATATGTTTTTTAAGTAATTTCCACAGCATTATGTGTGTGATTCTAATCTTATGTTAGTTTTAACATGCAATGAAAATTACTTGAAATAAAATCATATGCATTGCGATATGGATTTGTAAACTTAATTATTTAGAATAAATATTTAATGTTCTTATACTCGACATTAGAATAATTCAAAGAGTATAATAATATTATTCCATATTTAAGAAAGTAAATCACATTCATTATGAACCAATAGCTTTATGAGTAATCCTGTATAGGTATTACTTGTATGACACATTAAGATATCACCAGATTATAATTATTGTCATCACTATATAATTTGCTATAAAATAAATAGTATTAAAACTTGTTGCACCAATTATCTATGATAAATTATAGCAATTAACTAAAATAGCAACTACATATCACACTTCCATAGAACAAGATAATAACAAATTAGAAAAGATATACACACGACTAACTAATTACTTTGTTTCTATGATATATCGCAGCGTGTATGTCGTTGTATAGCATATAGGGATATACATATACGATCTCCGACCGATTAGGTATGTAAGAAAGTATATTTTTATATAGGACGTAGAATATTTAAGAATCGAAACCATTAAGGTTATATATTTTCGTATTATTATTCAACAATGTAGTAACAAGTAATGCTGGAAGTTAAAAAAAATATTAAAAAAATGTTAAGATACAAGTTAGTTAATATATACTTATTGATTTTACTAGTTGACTAAACATTTTTGTATTCCATTTTCTTCAATTTGCCCTTTTTAAACAGCAAGTACAGTTCTAAACAAATTGATTTTCATTTTATATAAATTACTTTCTCTATTCCAGCGATATGATAATAAAGTAAAGGACTATTTAGTAAAACACGCTTTTATTTTCTTTAATATTATCGTACAGTATTCTTCACTGTACTTTTTGTGAATCTTTAACTGCCATTAAAGTTATTGTAGATTTAACATACTTACTTATATACATTATTAGATGTTTATACATCATTTATTTAACATAATATGTTAATTGTAATCATATAAAAATGTATACAAGTAATATGTACTTAATGTTACTTACATTAAATTAAGTGAAAATATAAATTTAAAAACAAAAAAAAACAACTAGTCTTAGGAGCGACATAACACAATTTAGAATTAAGTAACACATAAATATCTCATTATTAAAGTATGCTTTTAGGTTATAAAAATTATTATGTAGTTTAAATTGAATGCACCAATCTTATAATTGAAATAGAAATCACCATAATAATTATCACCGAGCTAGAATTCCATCATCGACTTATAATTTGCACAGAATACTACTACAGTTAGATACTTTTAACACCTTTATTCACAAAAACGTCTAGAAACAGCTATCGAACTCTTTTTGACTTTATACTTCAAGCTATAGTCTACATTTGAACGAAAGAGACAACTGCATCGCCAATAGTAAAAATTGATTTGTAGTTTTCTAAATTTCATATGAATAAAGGAGTTAGAGTACATAAGTATTTTTTTTTAAACCTAAGAATATAAATATAAGAATTATAAACAGTAACATTATTTATTGTTCATTAAACAAGTATGTGTAACAATGTTAATAAACTTTAGTTATAAACATTTTATTTTTATTCATTAACTCCTTATTCCATTACGAGGTCCAGTAATTTTGATGACCGTCACGAACGCCTCCTTGTACCCCTTATGCGTTGCTATACCGGAGAACTAAAATGTTATGCCCTATAATTTCATTGCTAAAAATTTTTTTTTTGTAAATATAGATAGGATAGGACACACAGTTTCCAACAAACAGATATACTCATGTATACAAATATTTGTATGTAAAATAATCAAACCCGGGACTATAGGAAGAAAGCTGCCACAAAATCAAACTTAATTGTGAAGTACTTTAAAATTCAGTTCTAACTTATATCTACATATATTGTGAAAATAAATTAAACATATCATTAACCTAGTTATACAATAACATAAATATAGTTTTTTTAATATACATTTCATTCTATAAAACATGTAATAAATACGCAAAATAACCAACTGTGTTAAATATTTGTTTTTTAAATAAAATGTACACAATTGTACTTATACATTTATAATCTCAGAAACAGCTTCAATGATTTAATATTTTTTTTTATGGAATTGGTACGGCAAACAACACACCCTACCTTATGGTAAGTAACCGTCCCTTGTATACATGAACAGTGAACACATTATCATTTAATAATACCTCTCATATATTTCACCTTAAAGATTAAGATTGTCATGCCTTTTATACTGAAATTTCTCTGCTTTATCTTCAAACGAAACAGCTTATGGCAGTGTTTCTCAACGTGGGGCCCACGTCTCAATCAATGGGGGTCAATTTGATTGTTAAGGGGGACAATTCTAAAATGTTTTCACTCTTTATTAAAATGATATGGACTGTAAATTTCAATTTGTCATTATATGTATTGATAATTTACTTACAGTTTCAATAACAATATCCTGAAGTTTCTTAAGTGAACAGTTTAATTTTTTAATGTTATAAATTATGTATATTACATGAAGGGGGAAGGATAATAATTTTAGAAAGACTAAAGTTACCTATTGCTTCGCAGCTGAAATATCTGATACTGTGGTACCCATAAAGACAACGTTTTCTAGTTTACCTAAAACAGTCTTAAAATCTACTTATTATTATTTATGATACCATATATTAAGTCGCAAGAACACCAAGATTTTGTTTAAGAAAAAAACAAATAATTTGGATTAATTAAATAGTATTTTACTAGCTTTTTGAGGCGCGATCTTGACTTGCTGCCGCCTTGTTTTTCGCAATTTTTTCAATATTAGCGGCTCTGGTCTGAAAAATAAACAAAAAATATTCAGCAATAATTCCTTACTTCCCATTATAAGCAACAGGTAATCAGAAGGCAAAGGAATTAACTACGTCCTGGTAAGTAAGTTGTTTTTTCTTAAGGATGATAATGGAATGGTGCCCTTTCCTACGCTAATGGTTTATGCTGGCGGGCATCAATGGAGGATAAGATGAGCAAGAGGTCAGGTCAGTTAGCATATCGTAATAAATTCACCGTGAATTTATCACGATGGTTTCCAGGGGGAACCACGTGGAGGTCAAGCTGGTACATTGCTAGCAATGAGGTTATTAATCCCTATTACTAACAATCCCCTTTCCCCCGATGTAATTGTAAATGGTAACCGTCGTCTATATACATGAACAGAACTATGGACACCATATCATTTGACACCCGTGATACCACCCATGCATTGGAGATCTAGAATGCCATGTCTCTTATCCTATAATTTTGTCACCAAAAATTAAGGTTTTTGTATACTTCGTCCGCGTGGAATTTAACTTTTTTTTTTTTTTTAATTCTGACACCAGAACATGTGCTCTGAGTATCACTCAGAACACAAGTTCTGGTTAACTTGGAACTAGATTCTGCTGTGTGAGTTGTCCAGGTATTATTATTTTATTACTATTAATATTAATTACTAGGTGTATACGCGACTTCGTCCGCGTGGAATTTAACTTTATTTTTTTAAAATAAAAGTAGCCTAAGTTACTCCTTATTATATCAGATGCCAATAAAAGTCCCGTCAAAATCGGTCCAGCCATTTCAGAGATTAGCCGGAACAAACAGACAGACAGACAAATATTGTAAAAATGTTATTTAAGTGTATGTACCGTATTTATATTCATCTGTAGCAAAAAACGGGTCTTTCAATATTACAAACAGACACTCTAATTTTATTTATATGTATAGATTACGGCTACATTTTCTGAATTTATGACCAGGACCGCAGACATCCCGTCATGTTCTGACGTTCGTGGCGAGCAAACTCAAATTCAGAATTGTTTGCGAAATTTTCAAATTTAATGTCAAATGCGTTTAGATCATTTTCGGTCCCTTAAGCATGTAATTTTTTTTCATTATATCCTCTATACTGTTCAGCTAGCTACTTTAGTTAAGAAGTTCTGAGAAATAACTCAAGAAAGGTACATCTTTATTATTTATATTATAATTTTTTTAAACAGTTTCAATCTTAAAACAAAGAACATATAATTCAAACAGTCGTCTCCCAAATAATCATTTAGAGTCATATAATGGCTTTATTCAATAATTCATTCTTAATAAGATATCATTATCAAGATGTACAGACTTTTACCAATTTGGTATTCAATATTAAAAATTATCAAATTAATTTCTTGTCATATTTTACGTACCTGTAAAGATTGCACTCTTTTGTGTAATCCCATCATTGAATTAGATATTGATGTCAATTTCTCTCTACTTGTTGCTATATCTGCAAGCTGAAAATATAAATAATAATAATAATAACAATAATAACTCTTTATTGCGCATACATAAACATAGAACAATAAGTACAAAACAATAAATATAATAAATAAACATGTGGTGGAAAGGGATTACTAGTTATGTGTACTGATGAGCCCTTTTTTTTATTGGGTTGTTTAGGCTATTGTCAGGTGACTGTAGCACCTGTAGCACTGCGACCTACATAGATCTATTGTGCTCGCTTTTTGTCAGAGTTCGCTACCTAGACCCGTCACGGACAAGAATTGAAGGATATTCTTAGGAGCGATGGTTTTTATGTCCTCGGATGAGCCCTTAGCTAGCAACATATTATGTTAGGTTCACCTGTTTACAAAAAGCTCTGCATAGCTTGGGGCTAAAGGGGCTAAAGGTGTTGATTATCCAAGGTTCAAACAACTAATGCCGATTATGCAAACAATGAGTGGAAAAGTTGTAAAAAAAGCACAATCAAAATTAAGTATTATAATATTATTTGTTCTATCAATTGTTTTAATCAACAATTAATTGTTGTCTGTTTCAATTGAGTTTAAAATTCCTATTATTTTTTAAAATTATCAATAACTTGCAATACACTGAAACAAGTTAAACATTCTTGAAAATGTAAACATTGTGTATTATTATTTTTAAGAACCTATTATTAGAACTTACCAGGGCATCCAGCATAACATCATTCTGCAGATCCTCAAGCTTTCTCCTCTCAGATGTCAGCATATTGTGTACAGCTTCTTGTTTTTCCCTGAAATAAAAACACAATTTTAAGAATTATGTTTCTTATAAAGTTATTACAGTAAACAAGCTGACAGCTTGACCTGATGCTGGAAGTGGAAACTGTAACATATATATACTCGTACATGAACAACACTATGGTTATAACATTATTATACCATACCTATGGTACCGCAATGCTGCCATTCCAGATGACTGATAAAACAAGTCAGTAATATCTCCTATTTAATTATTTACCATTTGACAGAAACACATCTTACAATGAAAGTGGCTTGGCGACAATATAAGTACAAAAACCATAGATAATTTTATACAAATTTTACCTAGGGAAAGGTATCTAGTTTAGTATCAATTTTCTAAGCTATTTAGTGCACAAGCCCATGAGACCAAGAGTGATAAATTACCCTGAGATGATTCTTAGGGAGAATTTATACATTAGTTTGTTAAAAATGCATCTGATCACTGACATGGAAGATATATGGTAAGTACTCTAATTAGAAAACTTTATCAATGTAAAAGATGTCAGAATTTTTGTCTAGCAAACTAATATTTTTCCTTTTGTGCTCTGCTAAAATCTAGAGAGGTTGAGTGGTGAGTTGACATGGTGGCACAGGAAAGAGGAAAGTGAGAAATGAAAGAAAAGAGCTAAAAGGGGAGAGACTTTAGCTTAGTAGTAGGACAACATAGATTAATAATAATTTATTTATTTATTGAGCATGTGTACCAATTCACTGAAGAAACAATGACAGAAGTATTTTTTTGTTTATTAAGTATTTTACGGCCCTAGAAATCTCTATAACAGAAGTATAAACTGTGTTGCAAATACCCTCTACCGAGATTATATAATTTAAAAAATACATGCTATATGATGTTACCCACATCATATTAGTCTAATAAAATTTAAAATAGACAATTTAAATTTACTAAAAACAAAGAATATTAAACTTATAAAAAAATAGAAAAACAAAACAAAAAGAGCTATGCCTGCATTTGATATGTATGCAAAATGTATGTCAAAAATACTTACGTTAACTCCTTCAAATGAGTATTAATAGTTGCTAAAGGTGGTTCATATATTTCCATCACCCCCTTGGCTAACAGCTGAATAGTTTTCACATCATCAGGAGTTGTAGGACTTGACCTGAAATTTAAATAATAATATACTACTAGTATCCAGTAGATAGGGTAGTCAAAGACCAACAAAGTCAATTGTCGACACATTTAGCCTGCCTTCTTTGACTTTATTTGAGTGGAATGTGCCAGCCACAAACCTATCAGTATCTCTTGTATTAATTAATATCAAAATTAATTTTCATCATGCAATTAAAAAATATAAATTGACTAGGTAGAGTGGCTCTTTAATTATGAATGAACATTTATTTTGTGATTGGTCATGTACCAAGTCATAACACAGAGAGTGTTATGACTTGGTTTGATATGACTTTTAAATAATACTTTAATTTCATTGTGGAATTATTGTTCGGCAATGAAAGTTCATCTACTTTCATTGGGAACAATAATTCTACAATCTTTATTTAAATAGACTTAAATTTAAGCACTTTAGCATAGTCACATTTTTTATGCAGTTTCCATTAATAAAAATGAGGAATAAACATGAGTGTTGGTCTTTTAACGCCATGTCAGTCATATGTGTCTGACGGTAAGAAGTTCTACATGAGCCATGTCTGACGTACACAATTTGGTAGAAGGCGCTGTGATCAAAACAACAGGTTAGTACTTGTTGTATCTTGTTTGGATGCATCAGACATATAAGACTGACACTGCTTGTCGAGAAAAAGTTTTAATAAGTGCTTTTCCAGTAATTTTGGTAAAAAAAATTCTTTTCTGTGATACATACAGTTTCCTTGATGAAAATTTTTCTGATATCATTGTAGCAATTAATATGTTAAATCTTTTAAATCAACAAATGTGAATATGAACTACCAAAACACACAAATTAAATAACCAAATTATAAAGTATACCGTTTGTTGTTTTTACTCAATAGCAGTAGTCTATTGGATTATTATTATATGGATTAGCCGACTTATACATAAACGAAATATCTCCTTTGGAAAGTTTACACTCTTTCCCAATGAGATAAAAACCATCGTTCCTAAGAACATCCTTAAATTCTTGTTCTTGGGCCTAGGTAGCGAACTCTTAAAAAGGCCGAGCATAACAGATCTATGTAGGTTGCAGTGCTACAGGTGCTACAGGCACCTGACAATAGCCCAAACAACTCAATAATATTAAATCTGTTTGTTGAGTAATAAAATAAGTAGCTGCAGTGATCAAAGAAGACCAGCTCCCACAAGCTGTATTAGTTAATGACTATGTATAAGTCAGTCAGCTTTGTCTTCCATCATATTTCTTTTTTATATTTTCTACATTTATACTATGCAATATAAGCTAAAAAAAATATTATTTTGTTATATTGTACTTAGTTAATACTTACCCAGCCATTGTAAATAAGTTCTGTTTGCTATTATGAAATGGTGTAACAAATTGAAAATGTAGTATTTTCCAGTCCAGCACACTAGACACTTTTAAATTAAAATAGGTAGTTTAAATTGAAAATATAAATGTGAAGTATATTTGATTCTTATTGTCAGCTTTTACCACATTTTGTTTATTTCTAAAACTTGAGGTATAATATGAATAATGAATTTTGGATTTTCTTTATTATATTTATGTATCTATTTATTGAGTCGCATATTCTTTCTTATTTATTTATATAGTTAAATATATACACAAGAATTAATAATATGAATTGTAGTCATATTTTCATATTATATGCACATCAGACTCAAATGTCACTGTCATTCTAACTAATCATATTTTGTACTGTCAATCATATCAACTTTATTTTTTTTTATGTAACTGGAATGCAAATTCGACCTATTGGTAATTGTGGAGCTGAATAACGAACGTTACCAAACTTGTTTTGTTACGTTACTATTTCTGAGGACGAAGACATTAAATATAATTGTAATAAAGGATAATGTCAGCATTGGTTTATATGAGATGAATAGATACCCGATAACCGTTCATTATACATCCATAGTAAAGAAGTTGTGATATTAATTCGTTTATATCATGTAATCTATACATAAAGGAACTAGAAAAATCGCATCAAATAAATTATATAATTTTTATTTTTGGGCTAATATTAATTTTCTAAGTTTAAATATATATATTAACGGCGAGATAAATTAATAATGATATAACATTTCTAGTTTTCAACTTTATTGGAAGTATTTTTGACATATATATTTATTTTCCATACAAAATTAATGTAGTCTCCCAGTAATTGCAACAATCTGTATCTGCGTAGAACGAAACGAATTTTTATGGCTTCCGATTCCTTGTTTTGACATTACTTCATTTTTCATTTATTTTAACAATTGAAATCAACCGTATTACCCGCCGATTAATTTTTCTTCAATTATCCGTTAATTAAAGTCGTCAATCTGGAAGTACTACAGGTAGCCCGAGAGGACGCCGATATGACGTCCGTGGAAAGAAGACAGGAGCAGGACGATTCTGGTGAATACTCGGATGCATCGCAAGATATCGAACACAATAACTCGGGGAACGTAAGTACAACATGCAAACAACAAGTCACAATCGTTTATTATGAGAAATGACTTTCATTTTGATGTTAAAAGTGGTTCATTTCTCGGCACTTTCTCCCGCGCGCTCGCGTGACGGTATGCCCATTTCTTTTCGTGATATTGAGGTCACGGTTCGGACACCACTCACTGAAACGCCTACGATAGGTTTATATCTTAATTCAGAAGTGGTGCCACGTCGTTTGTAAACATTCTTGTAATTTGTGGGTGTTATAATGCAGTTATTGAAAGTTGCTGAATGTTTGCAGGAAGGGCAGCCTGAGTCTGACTATGACTCTCAGGGAAGTGAATCTGACCGTTCAGAGAGGGATCCAGAGAACCAGGTAACAATATACTACTTTAAAAAAAAAATTCAATTTTATAGAATGATTATAAACAAAATATATGTTCAAAAAAAAGATTTATAACCTGTAACATTTATGTGACTTAATGTCAAAAGGAAGAGGTTTTATTTTCGTTACTTTCTAATCAGAAAGTGTGTTTTAATTATCTTTTTATTGCATACATAAAGATAAATTGTAAGACTCAGTTGACTTAGTTAAGCCTTGATGTTGATTTGCTATTACACAAGTGGCTCATACTTACATACATACTTCTCTGATGCTTATATTTTTAAGTGAGAATAAATATCTTCATGTATACTATTGGTACTAAACAACCATCAGAAATGCCTAAAAATATTTTTGTTGTAAATACATATATAATATACATAGAATACATCCAGACTAATGTAGACAATTTCACTAATAAATTGTGCTATCAAATTTATGATAAGTTATAGTACATTACGCAACTAAAGAACAGCATTTGCATATGCTATAGTTTACTTTCATTTGCTACAGAGTAAAACTCTGTGAAGTAACAAAAAAGATACAGATTACCTATGTGAGAAATAAGAGTTTTCAATGTGGTTTTCAATATGTTCAAAACTTTAATTCTACTGCATAGTTATTATCAAAAAGCGTATAAAATGTGTTGTTTAAAAAGTTCCACAAAGAATAAAATATTATTTTGTTTTTGAATAAGAATATTGTAAGTTTTATAATTATAGTTTTTGTTAGTTTTAATTAATTTTCTAGTCATACAAGTCAGTAATAGTTTGTTCTTTTCCCAAAATCTATTTATAAATATTAGCATTGATCTATTGCGAGTTTAATTGTGGCTGCATAAAAATGCCATGTAAACATACTACATACTGACTTGTTGGTATCCCAGAAAATAATGTTATCTATGAGTGACAATCAATGTGTTAAATATACAAAAAATATCCTTATTAATAATATTAACATAGATGTGTCGCCTACCAAGCAGTAACAAAACGCAATACGCAAAGGGACGCTCTGGTTGGACCCCACACCCATCCAATTTTAAATATGCAAAGTAACGACCAGACTTAAATATTAACCGATCGATCTAACATACTTTTGTTCACTCATCCTAATTTGTAATTTATAATAGTATTTACCAATTAAATTAAAGAAATCAAGCAAAATCTATCATTTAATCACCCGTAATCTGCTGAAGCCGCAACATCACCTACCATCTGAGCATTCGAGCCGCATCATCACATCACGTACCAGATGTAATTAGTCTTTTCAGTTTCCTTTATGTCAGGCAATCACTTTTTCATACAAATATAAGAAGCATTGTCAGGGGAATACCCCTATCATAATTTATGAATTAGGTAGTACATAACATTGCAAAATTACATTAATGAAGCAAGATAATACTATATTGATAATGTTGTATAATAATACCAATAATCATAATTATTTATTTACAATTATAATTGTTATACTAAGTGCGCTGTAGCATGGTGTGGGTGACAGTTGCTTCATTTTACAATTGCTACATTTAACAGTTGCTAAATTTAAGTTAGTACAGTCATTAATGATTTAAGATATTATAAATATGGTACAGATGAAATACTAAGTTATAATCTGTAAAGCGCAGCAACTGTCAAGTGTGAAATGAAACTGCCACCCACACCATGCTATAGAGTCAATTCACTCTTTGCTTGTTATTATATTAACACTTAACAACATCTTATTCCACAACATATTTTGTAATCTGGACATTAGCAGAGAATCACCGTCTCATATGGTGGAAGCCATATATTAATATAAAGAAAAGAAGACTTTCTTATAAGGTCTACCCATTATATACAACACTAGCTGTTACCTGTGACTTTGTTTGCATTTTCCTATTTCACATCTTTCCAGATTATTTTTTGGTATAAAATGTCACTCATACTTATATTATGATATAAATATGTAGTTTTCATATTTATGTAGATTTCATAATATTTTTCTATACAATTCATACACAGTATAAAATCCTATAAAACAGTTTAATATTTAGACACCGTTACTTGTTTCCTCTTTTTGAGTTATCAATTAACAATATTTCGTATACTGTTCCAGGAGACCGAAAGAAGAGTAGATGATGATGAGGACAGAAGTAATCCCCAGTACATCCCCAAGCGTGGCACTTTCTATGAGCATGACGACCGAACCGCTGCTAGGTGAGATAAACATAATGATCCTAAGGTAGAGATCCTCAGGAGCCGTTCGTATTACAAGTATTACAGGTTATGTAAGCATTATGGGGGAGGTGATGCGGCGAGTGGGGGGGGGGGAGGGTCTTTGGTTTGCTTATTTTTGATGACATGGGAGGTAGGGGAGTCTAGATAAAGATTACGTCATCGGGGAGTCTAGCTTCGCTTGATGAGAAATATGTAAATAATACTTGAACGGCCCCTCACACTAGAATTGACACTAGTTATCAGATACTTGTCATTCATTATTCCTTATAAGGGAGAAAATAATTCTGAGCTTACTGATAAATCTATACTATATTATATATCATATCAAATCGGAACATCACGTTATCATATTACACCCGTGATACTCATTCATCTTTCGTTGCTGGTACAGAATATTAAGATGTCATGCCTCTCATACTATAATATCGTCTCCAAATATTTATGTTTTTTTAAATATTACGTTATAGCTTTGCTAAATGAATTGATTTTGATGATTGATGACTTTTTTGCTAATGATAACTGTTTTTATCAAATCTGTTAGTCAATTTATTGGTGAGTAAGTTATTTCTAGTAGATTAGGATACTTCTAATGTGCATTTACAATGTAAACAAATAGCCTAATATAGTATACGAGCCAAGCGTTACAGAACGTCAATGACCAAACTGTGCACTGATGCGGCGCGAATAATAACGTAATATCGTAGAAAGCCAGCGATTACCTGTTTTTGACTACCCGATATGACAGCAGTTTAAATTTTATTTCTATACACATAGGGTTGAGTTTTGCTATAAAGTCGGACAATGTGTTAATTCATATCAACATTTATACACGAAAGTTTGCTATATAAATACACAAGCACTTTTTTTATATTTTGACTCCTCCTTAACATTCTCTTTTTATGTTATAACGGTCATGCGGACGAAGTTACGTGCAGAAGTTAGTTATAATTTTATTGATGGTTCAAGAAAGAATTTATAAATTGATAGAATCTTGCAATTGTAGACATCGTTGCCTAGTCGTTTAGTATTCGAATTATCCCAGAGTATATTTGGCTAACATAACATAACACCAACAAACTTTCAGTATTTATGACTGATACTCCCGTGACAGATAAAAAAAGAAATGACTAATAAAGACGTATCTGCATATAATTGACCTGATTTTATGCTCATTCTACGATCTACTGGTGACCCGCCAGCGTATACTATCAGTGCAGACGGGTACACCTATTAGGTTTGTTACCGGTGTTCACTCACCAAGCCACATGTTAACCTGAGCGCGTTTACTTTTAAAAACTATACCTTGACCGATTGGAGTTTTTTGAGCGATAAACGGCGGAGGCCCGTACGTGGTACGATGAAATTTTGGTCTCAATCGGTCAAGCCGTTTCTGAAGAGTATCGTTACAAAGAGTACAAATCTTATCTCTAAGATCTAGCTCCGTGCTTCGCGCTTCTACAATTATCAGCTAAAGACACATTGGATTCAAATATATTTTATTAAACGATATTTTCAAGTCAAGTGATGCGTTCATTACGCCGTCTGTAGTAGATTATACCTCTGTCTACTCTACCTAGAAAAATAGTCGTGATATTGTTATGTTCCAGCGGTGAGGAAACGAGTAACACGACGTTGGAAACACCATCGGAGAAGAAGGAAGGTGTGGAGACACCGCAGGAGCGCCGGCGACCGCCCCGGAAGTCTGACGTCATCAATAAATGGTCCCATGATAAATACAACGAGAATGAACAGGTATTATTACATTATTACTATATCTATGTATTTGTATCAGTTATCTAGTACCCATAACACAAGCTTTAGCTAGCTTAACTTGGGTCTAGATGGCGCTGTGTGAATTGGCCTGAGATTATTATTATTATTATTACTAATAATAATAAGCCTGGATTAATTACCCAGCGCCATCGAGCTTGCGAAATGAGTACTAGAGATATGATAATAATAAAAAAAAAACTTATAAATACATACATATATAATATACAAACAATAATCTATAGAATAAATAAAATCAATTGTTTATACACACTTGATTTTTATCTTCATATTAACAACTTTTCATTAAATGTATCTATATGAAAGTATAATTTTTTTATTCATGTACCACACAGATTTTTTTTTTAAATATTTTATATATGGTACATTCATTCATTCATAATTTAAGAGCTACGGTCTTGTCGGTGGAGCTCTTGCCACTTTCCGCGATCTTCCATCATGCTCTTTAATTCTTGATACGACACGACTCCCATTTTGTCCTCAATATATGGTACATACATATATAAATAAAAAGATGCCTGTCTGCCTGTCTATTTTTGTTTTAGGTAATTTTTGTAAAAAAAAATAAGATATAAAACTATCTGGACTTCCCACAGATGTACATATGTAATAAATCGTTACATAGTTCTTTATTTTCTATTTTTTCCAGATGCCCAAATCCCGGGATGAGTTGGTAGCTATATATGGTTATGACATCCGTAATGAGGATGCCCCACCACATGCTAGACGCAACAGGAAATACGGGTGAGTGTAATGGGGACACTCATGTCCAATATCCCATAATCCAATGGACGCAGGGGAAATAATATTAATACAAAAAAATACGTTCCTAAGGAGCTAAAATGTCCTACGTAAATAATTGATTTTTGATTTCATTGGAATAAGTTACAAAAATATGAAATAAACTCAGGATTATTTCCCTGAACTTCTCAATCCTGAAAGTTATGAGATCGACACCGAAAAATGTGTCAATTTATATTTCGGATCGAATCTCAGATACAGACAAGTAACGAAATTGCCTCTTTCGATTAAACTACTCTTCGGCAAAATGTGGGTATACCAAGTGTTTTATTTACAATAAGGTGAAGATTTGACAATGCCTCTGGTAGTCAGATTCAGTCAGTTCATCTGGGATTACGGTCCTGAGTATTTATCTATACTAATAGCTGAGAAGTTTGTTTGTTTGAACACGCTAATCTTAGAAACTACTGATTCGAATTTAAAAATTTATTTTTGTGTTGCATAGTCCATTTGTCGAGGAAGGTTTTACGTAATGTTAAATAGTTTAAAACCTTCCTCGACAAATGGACTATGCAACACAAAAATAAATTTTTAAATTCGAATCAGTAGTTTCTAAGATTAGGGTTTTATTAGCTATTTAACATTACGCTACGACGGAGCGGAAATGCAATGAGAAATATTGCAATCACGACAAAATATCTACACGAATAATTTACAAAAAGAACCTCCAATCTTTATGTGTATTCTATATGGTATATCCACATGCAGAACTAGTGTTTGATTAAAGTGCATGTTAATTAATATTATAAATGAGAAAGTCATTAAGTTCAGTATATATTGCGATATAGAAAAGGCCATAGGCTTATCTTATCGAAATGAAACATGACCGGCCGAGTTCGCGAGTTGCAAATGATAGAGGAATAGATTGAGGCAATGTTCAAGTGATGCTTATTTTGTCACACGCGTTTTGTCAGAAGCTACAGTAACTATTTACCATTAGGCAGGACGTATGTTTTGTCGTACATATGTGAAAAATTGAAACTTATTGTATAATTCTATTCACGCTATGCAATATGGAGATATCGACATTGGCGGTTAGTGAATTTCTGGTTGTTCGAATCTTATGCATGACTTATTTTTGTTTTGCAGTTTAATATAATTTCTTTGTATGTTTTATTAGGGCCTTCACACAGCATGTCGTGTGTGAAACGGTTGTGTAAATTTAATACATATTCGCTTTAGTACACTTCGCTTTCGTTGTTTCGTTAGATTTCTTTTCATATGTTTTTGTTTTTTTAACAATAGTTGTGTATAAATTTTGCATTATTTAATGTATTAGTAGAATGATTTAATAGAATAGAATAGAATAGAAAATCATTTATTCAAATAAACTTACATTGAAGCACTTTTGAATAGTCATAACATTTTTTTTTAATCTACCGCTCATTTGGAATGCTGTCTCATCACAAGAAGAACAAGCAATAAACTTGTGTGTTGCTCTTTAAATAATTTATTCTTACTTACAATTTAAGTTTAAGTGTGTGAATACAAACCACCGATTAGCACTAATTCAATGAAATAATAAAATAGAAAAAACATTCAATATACAACAATTGGTTAAACAATTAATAAGAGAAAATAAGTCATTTAAAATACTATATGTAAAGTTTATCACAGAAAACTTATTTCTAATTGTAATAGCTACAGTTTTACTGACGTACGAATATATCGACTTATCTAAGAAAGTTCGCAATCTGCTCTGTCTGATGTGTTATTTATTTATTCCAAACTTGGATCTTACTTACTGGATTTTACGGGCCGATTATCTCTAAGTGGATTTAATTTATAAAGGTCACTTAAAAAATATTGTAACAACCATCTAATTATCTTATTTTCCAGCAAAGACCATTAGTATATTGGAAATTATAAACACCAAAATGTTAAATGTTAGAATGAGACAGACTGCATGTATGTGTGTACTGCTTACACAGTTTAGCCTTGTAATATATGATATTGTCCTCGTACCATAAGTAAAGGTTTTTGGTAAACGGAAGTTGTTAGTTGTTTTTGTTACTTGTTAGTTTGGTAAAAATGTATGTGTGTGTCGTAATAGAGTAAAAAACAAAAAAATTTCGCAGAAGAAATATTTTGGGATTTCTGATTGTTACCACTTGTTAGTTGGTATCAATGTTTCAACAAAGGTTTAATTTACAGTCGCGGACCGAACAAGTATACAAGGACTTGGGAAGACGAGGAGGCGTACAAGCGACAGAATGCAGCGCAAGCGGTACCAAGGAAGCCACCGAATCCCGAAGATTTCCCAGAATTAGATGCTGCAGGCAAAAAGTATTCGTAAGTTATGTCATAAATTTACGACCCCCCTTATTTTTATATGTGTGTCAAACATGACCACAAGATGACAAACAAGCCAACGGCCCCTGGTGGTAAGTGGTAATCAACGCTTATATATATGAACAGCACGGCATGACTTTGTTATATGGTGCCCGTGTGTATGACTTTCTCGGTAAAATATATTTATACAAAGGATCTAGCGGGTTAAGTAAATGAAAACTGTACTTGCGTCCGATGAAGGGTTCTTACCTTGTTTTTATTGTTTTTCATCTAAAATAGCCATACACTATCTATTAAGACAATCTCACACCCTTAACCCATATTGTAAGGGAATAATGGGGGTGAAACCCCTTGACGAACAATTTTTTTTCTCTGAACCTAATCAAGATTTCATCTTGAAATTGAAACCATATATGAATATCGATACCGATAATTATAGATAAAGTAAGTAATTATAATATATATTTTTAAGAATTTTTGCAATATTAGAAACTAAAAACGTGAACAATATTTTTTGGGGGTGGTTTTTTTATACCTCCTAAAGTGACACCTATAAAAAAAAATCTTGTTTGTTAATCTTGCCACTTTTTTTTTATTGAGATTCCGATATATCGCTAGTGTTTAAACCGCGATGATCACGGGTAAACTGAAAAGCAGCGGGTAGATAGTATTCCATAATGGGCTAACTTACCTGACTACATCTCATTATCTTCCACTGCGGTCCCGCCAGTGTATACCGTTGGCGCAGTCGGGTGCACCGTACTATTATCATAAAAAAATTGAATGTTTGTATTTAATTAACGTAAATCTCAACAGTAGACCCCGTGTACCACGACCCAGGTCGAAATCGCAGCCGACGTCCAACGAGTCGCTCGAGAATGGATCACAACTCCGCCGGAATGCCTCGATCAAGACCCCCAGGGGTAGGAACGAACGTCCCAAGCCGACTAACCGGCCGCCCGCGACGAAGACCCAACCCAAACAGCAGAACAGAGAGAAATTGCCTGCGCTGGAGAATCTCACTATAACTACGGAAGTCGGGAACAACAGGTGATTTGTTTTATTATCTGTGTTGCGACTTTAATAATATAAATAATTACTAGCTGTCCCGGCAAACGTTGTTTTGCCATGTAAATTAAAATCGCATATAAATTAAAAAATTGGGGTTCTTGCTAGAAGGGTTAAAATTTAGGGTTGTATGTATTTTTCAATCCTAAATAATAACATCAAAATAAAATGTTATGTCGAATAAATGAAAAAAAATAATTTGGGGTGTTTTTTGTTTGTGTCATTGAATTATATACCAAAATCAGTCAAGCCGCAGTAACTAACATTGTGACACGAAAATTTTATATATAAGAAGATTATTATTATTTGCTTAAAAATAAAGTACAAAATGTGACGATTAAAACACAAGGTCATGTGTCTTGTGATCGATCATTTGTTTGCTTGTGTCAAATTGAACCAATAATACATAATATACATTGACTTATAAATGTAAATTTGTATACCAAGTGTATTGAACATAGAGTACTTTGTTATACAGATAATCAATTGTTACGTATGTATTCATAAATAAAATAAATACATAATGAAATTAAGTTGATGGGAGCATAGATTTATCATTATCATTATTAAGTGTATGTTAATGTAATATAATTATAGTGCCCTACCTGTGCCCCTTTTTCCACATGGCCTACCATTACACATTTTTCCAAATTATCTGGTTTTCCACATGGCCGAAAAAAGCAGGCGCTGGAAGTACACAGAGAGACTGGTTGTGATACTCAGTTGTTCCAAAATGGATGCATTAGTGCGGCGCTCCGATTATGAAATTCCTAACAATTTGCACCAACACCACATCTTTAAAGCATCTATTTTGGGTTTTACGTGCAAATTGCGTATTTCCAAGTTGAGATCTCAGATGCATACAAAAATATGGCGAAGATTTCGCTTTACATAATTTCTATTGCATAAAAATTGAGAATGTCTCTGTTTGTTTGTTATCTTTTCATACTTGAGCAGCTGAACGGAATTTAATAGAATTTGTCATAATGATAAGTAATTGTATTCCGAAGATGGATATAATAATAATAATTTATCAGGTAGTTTCTAATAATAGTGTTATAACAATCGTTTGTCGTCAGTCAAGGCCAGCCCCAACGGAAGGTGAATGCTCAGCAGAGGCCGGTGCCGACCGAACAGGCTAAGAAGAAACCGCCGCAACAAACTCAGGTAATTTTACTGATTCATAACCTCAGAGGTAGTTCCAGTATTATGTAAGCAGATCCTCCACCCCCCTCCCCTCATCCCTGTGTTCGCAAAAGTAAGCGAAGCTCTTACCCCCTCCCACTATGATTTTTTTTTCGCCAAATTTTCGCGTTTATAGGATTTAGGTAATATTTGCATTATACCTAGTAAAACTAGAGTTGTAATCAATACTAATTTGATTTTATTTTTTTCTGTAAATATAGTAAATAATTGTTTCCATGTTATGTATAGCGTATAAAGAATACATAGTCAATATATTACTAACAAATATTTTTTATTAATAATTACATAAATAAATACTTTTTTTACAAAAGTTAATAAATAAATAGTGTAAAGTACTATATTTATCGAATCCCCTTAATTGATCTACTATATCATATTTATTCGCACTTTGAACAAAGTTAATAAGTATATATGTATGTAGTAATATTAGAAAAATTGTATTGTACTATGTCTCAATTGTTGATTACATTATTCTTTTTTTAATATAAACACAGCAAAATAATTCGGCGTCGCTTCAGCAATCCACGCAGCAAAAACCTCAAGCACAGCAACAGAATCAGCAAACGCAACAGCAAGCTGGTAAGTTGGTCACTCCTTCCAAACATATAAATGACCATATGTTTTTTTAAGTAACTGGCATACAAGTTGACTGCCCCCACCTGATGGTAAGTGGAAACCGCTGCCTATATGCATGTATAGCAACGCGGACATCACGTTAACATGTGATGACTCGTCACTTATGTGTTGCTATTATATATAATATTCGTCATTTATTTCATCATCCATTTAATGATCTATTTGATCTTGAAAGTACACTATATCGGATAGATTATAAGATCTAATAAAAATATTTATATGTAAACCTCGTATATTAGGGTGGTCCTTATTTTTTAACTTTTGAATTATCCTCGGGCACTTGCTCATTTGATTATATAAATAAATATGATGCAATTATTTTTTTTTTTTGCTAAGATTTAGAGGTCGCTGCCAGCTGTCCAAAATTTTTACAGAAGAATTTTTAAATGATGGTATTATTAATGTTTCATTTCGGTGTTTAGTCACATTTTACGAGCAAGTTAATCTCTCATAGATAATCGCTTCATATCCCCTTTTTTTCCTTTTCTTTTTGATTTTCCCTCCTCCCTCCCTCGAAATGAAGGAATTATTTTTTTCCTTTTTTTTAGGAATAAGGACCACCATATTGTATATACAATATTTCTGCTATGGTTTGGGAACGCTTAGAGCTTGTGAAATATAAATATTGTTATCGGGCGATGGTGGCTTGAAAACATACACATTTGTTAGTTAATTGTAACGGTCATAGTCTAAATTATAATTTACTAGCTAGTCGCCTCGGCTTCGCCCAGGTGTACATGTATTATACATATAAACCTTACTCTTGAATCACTATCTGTTAAAAAATAGCTTTAAAATCCGTTGCGTAGTTTTAAAGATTTAAGCATAGGGACGGACAGATAGCGACAGCGACTTTGTTTTATACTATGTAATGATTTTTCTCAGAATTATTTGAATAACGAAATTAATAACGAAGACAACATTTATACATTTGATTATTAATTGAATTACTTCCCGGTATGTAAAATGATGTGGAAAATAATGTGGGTCATTATTTTCCGCACAATAAAAAAGTCACCTGATGAATGATTCTATAAACGATAAAAAAAATTAATTCATGTAATAATGTAGTATTGATTCATATATATGACAATGTAAATAAATCACTCATTCTTTTCTCATAGGGGCCGAATCGCGTGGTGGTGTGAAACGCTACAGCAGCTTACGCCAGCGACCGCTCGCTGAAACATACTCACCGCAAACGCAGCAACAGCAACAACAATCGCAGCAACAATCACAAGCACAACAACAGCCCCAACAACAGACACAACAACAGCCACAACAACAGCCACAACAACAGCCACAACAGCAGCCACAACAACAACAACAACAGCAGCAGCAGCTAAGATACACCGGTAACAGTTGCACTTCTTAATATTTATTCATAATTTCAGCTGGAGTTTGCTGATTGCAATAATCGCAGCAACAATTACAACAGCCACAATAGCAACAATAACAACAGCAGCCACAACAACAGCTTAGATACACTGGTAATTTCCAGTATTAGAAAATATAAGTTCACCACTATTTTTCTAATGAATAATATTGGAATGGTAAACTCGTCTCTGCTAATGGTTTACGCTGGAGGGAAGTACAGTGGAGGATGATAAGATGAACATGAGGTCAGGTCAGTTAGCCCATCTTGATAAGTTCACTAGGAGGGATCGAAATTACGACGGTCTGAGCCGAGGTTCGAACCCCTAGTGGTGCCCTCAGACTAAAGTCGTATCCGTCAGGCAGGAGCTGGCCTTCAGCCGCTCCAGAAGTCCTTCCGCGGGTTTGGAGTGCCATCTGCACTCGCCCCCTAACGTCCGGTGAAGCTGTAAAGGCCAGCTGCGGCCAACAGTATTAGAGTAGTCCGAAAAAAATACTAGGTATTTAACATGATGGTTTCTAGGGATGTTGAGATCATGCTCACATGGTAGATTGCTAGCAATGGGGTCAACAGTATTAGTCCTTAATACACAACTAGTCCTAAATGAACTTGTCAAAAAATACATTGGTGAATATTTAACAATAATAGATGAGATGGAACTACTACCCGTTTCTATTAATGTTGTGTCGATAATTTGTGGACTGTAGATCTGACGGCGCATCTAACAGTGATTGATAGTAGATTGCTTTTATAGCAAATGGTCATGTTATCACATAATGCCTGTGGTTGTCATGCATTGCCATTCCAATACTCCTCAAGGCTCTTCCAATTTATTCCCTTTGCTCGAGTTAATTTATTCCCTTAGAGGTGGAATTTATCAAAAATCTTTCTTAGAGAATACCTACGTCATAGCAGCTTTATGCATGCAAAGTCTTAGCCCGATCGGTTTAAAATTGACAAAGTTTCATAGAAACTTTCATCCCATATTTTATCCCCTTGGATTTAATCAAAATCCTTTCTTAGCGGATGCCTACGTCATAACATCTACTTGCATACCAAATTTCAGCCCGATCCGTTCAGTGGTTTGGGCTGTGCGTTGATAGATCACTATGTCAGTCACCTTTGAGTTATATATATTTAGATGATATTGTCACATTTTAACCATCTACCAAAACATAGTATAACAAAGCAAGATGGCAAGTAAGAGCGGAGCTGCATTGAAAAATATTGCATAAACGGGAAAATTATGACGCAGACGAAGTTACGCGGGTCAGCTAGTAGTCATTTCCATGTGAATAACACCATTGTAGTATAGACTTTATTATGATGGACTTAAGGATGAGTTGTTTGTTTAGAATATGCCGGCGGGAACGCACCACCAGCACCGCACCAAGGAAGTCCCGTACCACAAATACATCAGCAACAGCTTATACACCAGGTAACTGCAATTGATATGTGACTAACAAAATGTGTTCGAAACGATAAAAATAGTAATAATAACTCAGGACCATTTACACAGCGCCAACTAATCCGAAGCTAAGCAGAGCTTGTGTCATGTGTACTAGACAACTGATAGATGTACTTGGATACATTTTTTATTATAAATATATTCAGTATATATTTATAATAAAAAATGACATATCACATTTCGATGTGTAATTCGGCACTTGTTACAGTATCTACAGTGAAAATAGAGCAATTTGTATTATGTTTTGGTTTGTATTGATTTAAACCTTTCATTTTAATCACTATATGTTGCTAAAAACTGCATTGAAATCCATTGCGTAGTATAAAAGATCTCAATCCCAATACACAGGGGAAGCGATTTCTATTTATACTATGTAAAGATGACAATTTTTTCTAAAATTGTCATAACTTCGGTTAAAGTTCTACACAGGTAAATTCGTGATAAACAACTACTGAGATGAAACGTCAGTCAAGTTTAAACAAATTGTTCATCATCATTTGTCTGTTGGAAGACAATTTAGTCGAAGTGTGTATGATGTTTGTATGTAGGTGCACCGCGGTGCGAGCGTGCCGCCGCACACGCAGCATCCGCAACATCCGCCACACGCGCCACAACATCCGCCTCAACACAACCAACAGGTATATATATACTATATTTTTTTATTTCTCTATCCACCTAAAGGTAGTCTGGAAGATATTGCTTAGCGATAAGACCGCCTTTTGTATCAATGTATATTTTCTATTTTAATTGTTTGTTTTTGTTCTGTAATTGGTGCAATGAAGATTTTAAATAAATAAATAAATAAAAAAAATACTAGCTGTCCCGGCAAACGTCGTTTTGCCATATAAATTATAACGCTATAAAAAAATAGAAGGGTGAAAATTTAGGGTTGTATTTATTTTTAAATGACACCTAATAAAAAAAATAAATAAAAAATTTTGTCCAAATAATAAAAAAAAAGATGTTAGGTGTCTGAAAAATAGTTAGTAGCCGATTCTCAGACCTACTGAATATGCATATAAATTAATAAAAAACATAAAAACATAAAAATCGCTCAAGCCGTTTCAAAGGAGTATGGTAACTAACATTGTGACACGAGAATTTTATATATAAGATTTTATCCCTGAACAATTCACACAATGCTGTCTAGTCTCAAGATAATCAGAGCTTGTGTAACAAGTACTAGATAATATAAATACTTGATACATTTTGTTAATCTCTACATAATATAAGTATACATAGAAAACACCCAGACAAACTATCATACTCATGAATACAAATGTTTGTACCGTGCGAGGTATCGAAATCCGCGACCATTGGAAGTAAAGCGGTGTGCTAAACTGCTAGACTGCCACACACATCATCATCATCATTAATTCATCTTTATTCTCATGTGGGTATATTCATCTTTCACACAGTCCATCCATCTGATTTTTCGTAATATGTCTTCCATCTATCCTTTATAACCATCCACATTCATATGTCAACACCGTCCATCTCTTTATGATCTTCATTCCTACGCATTACATGTAACACCATACCACGATAGACGATTACTCTTTAACCTTTCCTCTCGATTAATTTATAAGTGGTATAACAATATATATATATTATACATATCAACAGTTACACTCTATGGGGCAAACTATTATAATCGCTATTACAAACAAGCTAACACCCTACCGTGTCATGTCAGTGCCATGGAGACAATTAATTCAAATCGTGATTTTTTTAAACATATTATTTAAGAAGCACTATGATTAAATGTTTTTTTTCTTTCTGTGTGCAGGTCAGATTAGGTATATTGGAATCACAGCAGCTAGTATCGCATCCGCACCATTCGCTTCATAATATACCGCAGCCCCACTCTATAGGTAAGTAATTTTGTTTAGTCGTTTCCTTTTGCTAGATCCTAATGTACTATAGGTCTTTGGGTCAGTTCTCGGCTCTGATGATCCGCTATTATATGTACATATTACTGTAATTCCAGGTGAATTTAGTATATTTATGTTATTGGAATGGCAAAGCTGACTAGTAAGTGGTAATTTGTGGCTATATAGTATGAATAGCACTAGCAAGTGACACCCGCGATACATTCATGTGTTGCCATTCCAGGATTTAGATGTCATGCATCTTATCCTGTAATAAGCGTTCTCATTGGACACCCATGGTACCAATTCATGCGTTGCCATTCCAGGATTTAGATGTCATGCATCTTATCCCTTAATAAGCGTTCTCATTGGACACCCATGGTACCAATTCATGCGTTGCCATTCCAGGATTTAGATGTCATGCATCTTATCCCTTAATGGTACCAATTCATGCGTTGCCATTCCAGGATTTAGATGTCATGCATCTTATCAAGCGTTCTCATTCTGGTACCAATTATATTCATGTGGACACCCATGGTACCAATTCATGCGTTGCCATTTTGTGATGCATCTTTTTAAATCCCAGGACACCCATTTTATGCATTTAGATGTTGTTTTCTTCTTTTGTAGGACAGTTACAACAAACACAAGGATACGCGCCGCCTGCCATGATGCCTGCGCAGTATATGCAGGTATGGAGTATGTCAGTTCTCATTGGACACCCATGGTACCTCAGTTCCCATTTTTAATATGTATTTAAAACTAGCTGTGTATATATATTTAAAAGTGCATCTTAGTAATAGCGTTTTTAATGTGACGTTGACCAAATAACAAGGTAGTTTTAACGAACATTTTTATTTGGTATACAACGATTTTTAATATATATTATTTTGTTTATTTATTTATTTTTTATTTTATCCCCTATTTTAGGGTAACATTTTATATCCTTACCCAGAGTCTAGAGTATGTGTATCGGGTGCTGCTTGTAGGGACTGGTCTGCTCTAATCACTACGACTGTTTTTATTGTATTATGTACTTAATATCTGAAGCTAAATTGGTGCTTGTTGGTGGTTTGCATTCGCACGTTTCAAATTGGTAATGTAAAATTACAATGATTATTTAAAAGAGCAACACGCAAGTTTCTTGCTCGTTCTTCTTGCAATGAAACAGCTTTCCGAATGAGCGGTAGATTAAAGGAATGATAACTATGACTATCCGAAAGTGCTTAAATTAAGTTTATTTGAATAAATGATTTTCTATTTTATTCTGTATACAAATTTCATTTTAATTGGTTCAGTAGTTTTAACGTAAAAGCGTGACAGACAGACAGACAGAGCTGTTTTCGTATTTATAATATTAGTAAGGATTTGGTAAGAAGAAATTACAAATAATCTGTATGTACCACATAGAACAATATATTCTGTGAAAACTACGTTTCCATTTGAAACCTTAAGACATAAACTAATAGACAGACAGTTTTGGCCTCGTCGCGATTTTATAGTTCAAACGTTACATACAATTTATATGTAACGATTATGTGGAAACTTTTACGTGTAACCTTAGATACAAACTGATATACAGACAAACGGGTAGTTTTGGCCTCGTCAGGATTTTAGTATATTGGCGGATATTGAATGGTTGTTGTTTACAGCCACCCCAGCAGAGCGGTACCGGTGGAGTGTTCGGCGGCGCTATGTACGCTCAGCCACCCGCGCCATATCCGCACCAGATGTATCCGCACCACAACTATGTAAGTATTGTCTAGACCACTGTTTCCTATCGTTGGGCCCACGCTGCACAGGAGGGGGGGAGGGGGGGGGGCAATTCGAAAACACAGTGTTTTCTCTATATGTATCTAATACATAAACATCCATCCATACTAATAAACTTTCGTGTTTATAAGTGTCTCTTCGTAAAATTTCTAATAGTATGATGTATGTGCAGGCGACGCAGGCCGGCGGCGTGACGTACTACAGCTGCGCGGAACAGGAACAACTGCCGCGAGCGCAGCGCAGGCCCACCGCCGCCATACCCATCGTACGGCCCGCCGCGCCCGCAGCCGCAGACAGGTACGCTAATATAACTCTACAGTAGACTGCTATAGAGTACATAATTGTTTATTCAACTAGAGAGCGTTGTCATCCAGTGGTTGGGGGAAGGGGGCATTCTTAGTAATAATCCCTTCCTACTAACAATTCTCCAATTGCTAGCAATGTATAATATGTAAGGTTGACCTCGACGCGGTATCGTACAGCCGGCCGCGCCCTTATCTTGTACAGATCCTGTATCCTGTATTTTGTACAGAAATATAACTGCAAATAAATAACTCAAACTAACAATTTTCTATTCTATTCTATTGTCGTTCTGAAAATAGAGTAGAATAGAAAATTGTTTAGTCAAATAAATTAGGCACTTTTGAAGCTAATTTTAGAAAGAGTTTTGTGACAGTATGTTTATTTTTGTTTATATAACTTTTTTTTTTAAAGGATGATAATGTATTGGTTCACCCGCCTGCGCTAACGGTTTCGTGACAGTATGTTTGTTTTTGTTTATATAACTTTAAAAAAGAAAAAATTGGGAAGATAAAAGACAACAAGTTTTAAATCTCGTCCTTGTCATATCTTGTCATAATTTATGGATGGGTCAAATTATCTGCATTCCTTGCTGTTCATTATTATCATCAATCTAAATAGAAATTCCTTGTTTACTTATACATTTATATAATTAAATCATAAAAGAACATTGTTTATTCCAGGCCGGTTAATTCATCAGAAAAAGACAACATCGACAGAATAGTCGAGAATATGTTCGTTAGGAAGCCGTGGCCGGCAGAGAGACATGGCGCTAGTGAGTATTATTGAGAATATTATTATTGTCTAATCTAACGGTATATTTGTGAACGGGTGCTGCTTGTGGGGATTGTTCTGTTATGGGTACAGCCACTGATTAGACTAGTACCTTTTGATGAAATTGCAATAGCATATACTGGTGTTCATTATGACATTTTAATTTGATATGAATCAAAATGTCTATTTGAAATTAGAATTGAAATCAGAATTGGTATGGGCTTGGAATCGGCTTAGGAATCAGTTTTTTAAAGCAAAAGTATTTAATATAATCCATACAAGATGCTTGTAATATGTCATTTTTTTTGTCCAATTAGAGAAGTACTTTCAGCCAATAAGGAGTTACAAGAAATTCTGTTCCCATTTGTTTCAATTGAACATAATTATAATAGAATTTGTTTTAAATTTTGTTTATAATTTGTATTGCATACTTGTGCTACTTGTATTCCAATTAATACAAATTTTAGTTGAAACAATAATTCAATATGTGCCATAATGTCCGACACGTCAAATAATTGATTGAATATTTACTTTGTTCATTAAAGCTTTACTATTGACTATCGCTTCATACTTGGCTCAACGCTCGAAGGAATTGAAGAAATAGTACTCTATTACGTGAGATAGACTCATTTAAGTTATGAAGGAAAGAAGCTTCCGTTTAGTTGTGAATTTTTACGTTACGTTAGTATTGCGTTTTGTTATTATATATTGGTTAGTTTAGTTTGTTAAGTGCAGATGTTAAGTCAAGGTTTAAACAGGGTACCTTAGCCTCATGTGAAATTTCGTACCTTAATCAGAAATTGTAGCGCAATGATGGAAATCGCTAGTTCTCAATAAAATCTTAATAAACAACGGAGTTAGTGTTCCTTGGAGTAAGCAAAATATAATCGCTGAGTTAATACTATCATGACACTAGTCATCCTAAAAGATGACAAAACTTAAATCACTTCACACCTGCACCTTATAATATCTAAACAGACTTTGTATTCATTGTTATTGGATATTAGTACAGATTAGAAAGTATTATTAGATATTAGTGTTCGATTATACGAGTATGTAGTGCGTAGCCTAGTAGCGTGCCTAGTTTACCCCGACTTTTATCAAAGTGAAAATCTGAAAAGACATAAATGAGTTAAAATCTGGACGAGATGAGAAAACTCTATACGACTATAATATAAATATAAAATGAATCGATATAATTTCAATAACTGCTTCCATTAATAATACAAGCGAGACTTTCATTGTTAAATATAAACCAAATATAATTGTACTGGAAATCTATACTATGTCGTATTAGCAACGTTTTACCTGAAATAAAACGCATATTAAAGTACTTACCTTATTCGAAGCTTTTATTTCGGCCTGGTGCATTCAATTTCTATCGAATGAGCCATACAGGCGCCAGGTTTTAAAAACTAAACTTACTATAAGGATATAGAAGGCGCCACTGCCCGGTGACGCTGCCGGAAGTACTAATATTCGAGTAAACAGGTGCCTATCTCAAATAATAAGGTTCGAATTACGTTCAAGTGCTTTAATATCATTTTTTAACTTATGAAATGGAAATATTATTTCATATTATCAATTTTCTACTATTACTCTGGAAAATAATAGAGTTAGGTACTTTATTCACTGTGTCGCAGAAGTCACAAATTGGTGCCTTTACACGTATGTTGTTCTACGAAACACTATTATCAAAATATATTTTTATTAGATGTATATTTTTAATGAAAAAGAATATTATTTTTACCATTAATATACTCACAAGTGCAAGTTTATAATGAATTTTTATGGCTATTGTCTTTTTTAACTTGTGGAAATCAAATATGTACATTGGGTTTCATGAGAATGATAAATTTGTAAAAACATGTAATTTATAAATGTAGAAAGGTATTATGTAAGCTTCTTCATACATGTTACACTTGTATAATTAATATACAGTAAAAATAATTAATCTGCATTCATGTAAAATATATGTATAACTATATATATTGGTCTTACAAACGGCCTGTTTGTTATTTCTTAAGTATTTACAATCATTGTGTGATAGATCGTGAAGTATTGTAATCAAATTTAGTCTTTTGAAAAACTCCTACACATTAAATATGTAGTAAACTAGTTCAGTAAACTCTAAGGAATATTTAAAATATTATATTTTTTAATTTCACAGATTCAAAAGACAAGCCACAGTCTGAAAATCGTGGATCCCAAGAACCACAGAGCAAAGAGTCATCACAACCGAATAGTTTAACATCAAGTTCCATATCAACCGACTCCAAACCCTCAGAAAGCAGAGACGAGGCCCCGAAGCCGGAAGAGGTGAAAGAAATTAAAGAGGTAAAAGAAGAGGAGAGACAGCCAGAGAAAGAGACGGAGGAGTCGGAGGTGGTAACGACTCAAGAAAGTATAGGGACAGACGCCTGACTGGTAAGGATTAAATTCTATGAATATTATCAAGAGAAATATAGCCGAAGATAATTATGTTTAATTGGGACGGTCACACTGGTCAATTGGCGTTACAGTTAGGCCAAAATGCTCACACCCAGTGCGGTGAAGTTTTCTTTTAATTGTTTCAAACATCGAACAAAGTTATATGATTCCAAAATGTCTAAAGTATTCATAGTTTTATTAATTTGAAATAAAAATGCACATAAGTTTTTGTTCAATTTGTTTTTAATTTAAATCCTCAATGGAAAGTAAACCATTATACTTTGGTATAAGGTTAGTTATGGTTCATGATATTAATTTATGCATCAAAAAATATGGTTATTTGTAATGCCATTTTACATTTCGAAGTGTACGTATGCAGATTACAGGCCTATTTTTATCCTGCTATGAGTTCTATTTGTTTACTCATATGGTTTATTATTACTATGTGTTATGTTGGTATATCGTGATTATGCTTTGTTTGTACAATAAATTGGATAAATAGGAAATATATGTTGGATTTATATATCGTGCTTACGTAAACATCTCTCAATTAATGTATTGTTTTTTTGCAAAGACAATGTGAGGGTTGCCATTTGTTTGTACGACCGATGACGTAATCATTGACTCCCCCACCCCCATGATAAATAAGCATAGGAAATATATCGTTATATATTATGTCATTCATTGGTTTTGATTACCCTATTGATGGAATTGTTTATTTTATTTTTAATTTGTTATGGTCTTAGGTTTCATGCCCTCGCTATAAGCAGTTTTATTCTTTAATATGTTTTATCTCTATGTATATTATATATGGTTAAAAATATATAATTTTTATTACTTGGTCATCAAAGTACTGCTGCGTTTGGGACTATTTATTGCTTAGTAATTTGTATAGGATTTTTTATTTATAGATTCGCCTACTGTACATGCTTTGTTATCTATGGTTTTATGTTCAAATCTTAATTTAAAATTAGGATATATTTCATTTTTTCAATTTAATTTGACATTTAGCCATACAGAGTTAACTGGGAAATACAGCGCTCTGTGGCTAACATAAGATAGAACATTTTGTTGTTGAAAATTAAATATTATTTCGAGACTGTTAAGTTCAATAATAAATAAAAAAACTCGGTTTTAAATATTCAGGACAAAACACTTTCAACAGGACTTTATGGTTTATAAATTCTAACAAGTTTTGTTGACTTTTTAAATTGGACTCTTTATTTTATTATTTTTAAGTGTAATTTATTTTTATCCACTGATACTCTTTTGAAATGACTTAATTTATATGTATAATACCGGATATAAGGACATTGAAGGAAACACATAGTCTATAAGGGTATTTTGAATGTGTTAGGAAGGTATTTGTGTGACCGTTCCTTTATAGGAAAGGATTTTGAAATCATTACTTGGCTGTGTTTTATTCTGTATGAGTTGTAAAAGTTAAGAGTAATCTGTCAGAATTGATAAATGTCCTTTGGTTATTCAAAGATATAGTAATAAAAAGTAATATTAAAAAAAAGACCGGACTGAAAGTCTGAAAGGCTACGGACAGATATACAAAACGAGCTTCTACTAAATAACGGTTCACAATCTTACTGTTTACAAACTCACGAGTTATAGAATAGACTGACTTGTGTACAATCTTATTGAAATTAAGTAATATCAAAAACTAAGACCCGACTAAAGTCTGAAAGGATTGTGAACTGACTATGGATATAGAACAAGCTTCTACCAAATAATGATTCATAAGTTTACAAACTCACGAGTTAGAGAATTTATTAAGTACATTACTTAGTATATTCTCTGTTTACAATCTTACTCATATATTTAGGGAATGAGTAATACATTATCTTTTACAACCCATCAGAGAATCTTTCATAATATATATAATAAATATACTAAGTATTTTAAAATTGTATAAGCCTACTCTATATTTTGTATATCAGTGCATGGTATGAATCGGAATTTCGTGTTCTATTTGCGGGGCATTAAGGTCTTATTTTAATGTACTTTTTAAACAACTTGTGTGAACGTCTGTTTTGAAGTTATGCCAAAAAGTTTTCTGTTCTATATTAAGATCTCAATGCTTTTGTGTACTAACAAGTTAAGTAACAGTCATATATTGGGACATATATCTATAATATATGTATAATAAAAATGTAACTCTATGCTGTCTGTATGTAGAAGATATATGGGAATAACTATTATGATGAAACTTTATAATAATAAATAATCATCTTTATTTGTCTCAAACAAAAAGTAATTAAATGGTTGCCCATACAATAATAAAATTAAAAAAAGAGACAAAACGGTCTATAACTCAGTGGGGACAGTGAGTCCACCCTCTCTGCTACTCTGTATCTATGCAACAAAATATTAAAAAAAGATTTTTCTGTTTGCCTGTTAATCTGTGCATGTGTGCGCGCCCGTCTCAAAAATGGCTTAATCGATTTGGATGCGGTTACAGTGTCTGTAGAAAACTTAACATCAAATTTTGTGCTTTTTTCCAATCGGTTTACTAAACAAAAAGGTTAAGCTATTGTTGTTGAGAATACCATAGTTATAATGTTGCGGGTTCAGTTATTAAATGAATAATTATTCGTCAGTTTATTATATACAGTTGAAGTCATATATATATATATATGGCCGTGGTTATGATTTTTTTTTATCAATGTCCTTACCGGCCAGTCAGATAGTTTCTTCAGTAGAGAAGAACTGGCAAGAAATATGTTATGTAGTTGTAATGTAGAATAATATAATAAAAATATACCAATTCCTTTTCTTGCCAATTTCTCTCAACAGAAGTGAAAACGAAAGTGTACAGTAGGGATAGTGTTAAAAAAATTTGAAGTACCTAAGTAGCATAATATGATCTGTACTAATATATTTGTTGCTACCTGTGACTTTGTATGCTTTTCTGTCTGTATGTACACGCTAAAATTATATCATGAAAACAAAGGCTATATTTCATTGTAAAAAATTATCTGTAAAGAATGAAAGATTGTACATATGCAATCCTGGGCACCTGCTTATGTCATAGTTTGTAACCTATCCCTGTGATGAAACAAATGATAGTTTTAGAGCGAGATTTTTAGTATTTTTATACAAAAAGGAGCATGGTACGCAGGTAATCATCACTAGAATAATATTTATAATCATATTTGACGGCGTTTGTACTGTTTTGAACCAGTCCTTCCGATCATCTGAACAACCAAGTGGTAGAGAATAAAACAAAAGACACATAACATTACATACCATTAAAAATAAAGCGCAAATTCTCCCCCTAAAGTTGTATGCCCCAATACTTATGCCTCATAAAACAATAATAATTAGATAGCGAAAAAAAAACTTTTATATTCAAATTTAGTATGTATGTTTTCATCGTTCACATAAATATGCAATTGTGACTTAATTTGTTATTAATAGTGTTCATTGTTATATAAAATAAAATACTAGTTTGAAAATTATATCCAGAAAAGAGTTTGGTTTGTGAGAATGTGGTATGCTTAATACTAAATTGCATTAACAAAATTAAAAAAAAAATCTAATTTAAGTATCTTTAAATAAAGTCGATTTTCCAATATTTTTTTTATTTAACGCAATTTAGTATTAAGCATTTGAAGTGTTTGTTTATTTATAAATATATTGTTCATATTCACATGTAGAATTGTATGGGGCGAATAGAAACTACATTTAGATAATAATCAAATTTATAATAATCAACATGACTGTATAAATTTCCTTTGTCCCATATTTTGAATGAAAAAATTATATGCGTTTAATTATATTGTGTGAAAAAACTCTTTGTTATTAAGAATTATTGAACTAAATGCAAATTGGTTAATTTTTTTTATAATAATGACTAGAAATTTCCTTTGTTCCATATTTTGAATGAGGAAACTATAAGCGTTTAATTATATTGTGTGAAAAAGTCTCTTTGTTTAAAAGAATTATTGAAATAAATGCAAATTGTTCAATTTTTCTTTTAAATATGACCTATTGCGGTTGTAAGTTGAATGAGATTCCAGGCCGCCCCAATTTATAATAAACTATTGATGGCGATATTTTATTACATCACACAATGTCAATATTAATGACTAAGATTACACCATTAAGTAATGGCTCTGAAAATTAAGAAGACATTTTTATTTATATACGTAATTGTGAGTTTTAATTTGATGTCAAATATTGGCGGTAAATACTGAGTCGGCCATTTAAATGTATATTAACAGTATCCGTATTAGATGTATGATTCATACATTAATATAGAGATACTGCAATTGTTAATCTGTGGTCACTTATATGTACATATCCTTCAGAAAAAAATTGTCTTTGGTTTTGTGTCATTTTTGCCGCCAATATTTTCCAGACGATACTGTTCCCAGTTATTAAATGTTTGTTTTGTAACTAGTCCTTTTTATAAGCCTCATGAAGTCACCCCTATGGGATTATATTTTTAATGAAAACAAAGAAAATGTAAAAAAAAAGCGTCGGCTAAGTACTCTCTGAGTTTTTCGAATATTTTGTATTAAAATAATAAGAGAAAATACAATAAAAATATGAAGCTTTTGTAAACAGCCAGTTATTTATTATACTAAGTAAATCTTCTAAACTATATACATTTTGTTTTATTTATTATATTAATCTAAATATTTACAAATAAATCTATACATATAATAAAATAGGAGTGTCTGTTTGTAATATTGAAATAACCGATTTTTACTACAAGCATATGAATATAAATACGGCACATACACCAAAATATCATTTTTTACTATTTTTGTTTGTCTCATTGTTCCTGAAATGGCTCGATCGGGATTTTGACGGGAATTTTATTGGCAGGTAGCTGATGTAATAGGAGTAACTTAGGCTAAGTTAAATTCCATGCGGACGAAGTCGCGGGTACTGCTAGTCCAACAATATATATATATATATATAAATGAGAATTCATATTTCATATCATCAATCAAATCAATCAATCTAAAGTGTATCAATTAGGTTTAAAAAGTTGCCTATTTGACGTCAAAATTATCTAGGATTTAGGATTTTATGTTATGTTCATTTTTATTGACTAGAGTTATGAATTAATATCATGCAATATAAAATAAATGTCCAATTAAGAATTCTTCAAAATGAGAAAGTTATATAAAATTGCATTTTCTTTATAAAGGCCAAGTTTACCACTTAACATTATTACCACTTAACACTTAACATTACTATAAGTCGTAACCATCGGACATCTGGCCACTAGCTTAGATTCCAGTTGCATAAAAAAAAAATGAAATAACAATTCATTTTTTTTTTATTTATTTACAATTTCTATTTAGGTTTAGGTTCTTTCGTGTTTACTTTATTTATATTATTAACTGTGTCTTAACATGAACTAGTCGAAATATCGAGAGAGGTAAATACCTTTACTATTTGCCATAAAATTAGTTCGTGTTGACCTGGTTCTATTTAGGTAATATTTCACTACGGTCGTATATGTATCTATCTAATTAACATAATTTATGTATCTAAACCGATTTCCTTCATATATGTATAAAAAAATATAGATATATGAAATAGATCCTTTGTAGAAATTTATTTACCTACTTATATACTAGCATATCAAACATGATTCTCGACATTTTCTTTGGGTTCCTTTTTATTTCTTCCCTCCAAGTCGGCATAGATATCCTCTAAGCTCCTCATTTTTGTCTCTGGAACTTTGAAGAAGAGGTAGAAGACATTTGCCAGACATATAAAGCTGAATATCCAGAATGTGGAATGGTAGCCAATCCAGTTGTTAAGCGGTGCGAACAGTTTGAGGAGAGCAAAGTCGGTGCCCAACGATATCGCCATGATGAGAGTTGCTACAGTACCGCGGAGCTGTAACAATAATCATTTATTTATTTAAACTTTACTATTACATATATAACTCGGGATTAACTACTCGACAATTTTTTAATGAATATATCTACCTACCTATATGGACTCAGAGGACGCCAAATAATAGTATAGATATATAAATAACTAGCTGTGCCCGCGACTTCGTCCGCGTATTATAGTGACCAAATAAAGACGTGAAAAAATGACGAATTACCATACAAACTTTCATCCCCTATTTTTTTTTAATCCCTAGAGACTAACATTTTTACAAACTTTGAATGTCATATTTATTTATATTTAATCAGCAGCCTAAGAAATAAGAAGCTTCTAACTTTAAAAATGATCATATTCCATACAAACTCATCTGCCTGCATAAGGGGTTGAAACCTTACAACCCTTTTTTCGCATTTAAAAGCCTATGTCCTTTCTCAGGGACTATCTGTGACTATATATCTATCTATCTATATATGTAGACTATCTGTGTGCCAAATTTCATTTAAATTGGTTCAGTTGTTTAGGCCTGAAAGCGAGACAGACAGACAGACAGAGTTACTTTCGCATTTATAATATTAGTAAGGATAGTATAGTTAAAGTAATATTAAAGACTTTGTTTGAACGCACTAATCTCGGAAATAAACAGTTAGATCAAAAAAACTTTATCCATTAAAAACAAAAAAAATCAGGAAAATGTAAGCTAAAAATTTTCAACAACCTAATTTTAATAAGCGAAATAAAATAAATGCGCTTGAGGAACCTGCTTTTTTTCTGTCTTCTTGAAGCACAGTATCAATATAAAATAAAAAAAACCTACCTGAAAGTTGAACATCTCAGTCATAATAACGAATGGCAGTGGTTGTAGTGCAGTCGCGTCTGCGAATATGCATAAACATAGTGCTACGATTGGCACCCAACCTGGCAGATATTTTTCTATACTTTGCAGGTAGAACCATATGCCTAGTAGACACATGCTTACTGCTGCTAATATGCTCGACAGGGACAGGAGAGGCTGAAAACAAAGTAATATAATTTGTAAACTTATAATTTAGATTAAAAATTACACGGATATTTTGATTTGACATATTTTTTTTTGACATAGTTTCCTAATCAAAAAGGTAAAAGATAAAGACAAAGTAATGCTGCAGCTTTGTCCGTCCATTACATTTCAGTAATTTTTAAATAGTGGCATGGATATTTTGAATTTAACATATTTTAGGTTTAATTATCAAAAAGGTAAAGATGGAAGACAAAGCCGCATCGTATGGGGCTTTGTCCGTCCAATTTGTTTCAGTAATTATTAAAAATGGCGTGGGTATTTTTAATTTAAGTAGTTTGGGTTGCCTAATCAAAAAGGTAAAAGATAAAGACAAAGCCGCATAAGGTTGCGACTTTGTCCGTCCATTACATTTCAGTAATTATTAATGCCACTAACTTATAGTTTGGGATAGTTATATAAACAAGTTAACTCAGAATTTCGATTAGTTTTATCTGTGGTTCATTTACCTACTGTTGATCTATAGATAATAATAGAATTAACAATGAATATTTTCTTTGTGAAAGGGGCCTTAACTGGGGATTCTGATTTAAAAAATAATTCTATGGAAGCGGTTCGTTAGTACATTTTAAAACAGATTTATGTTCTATAAATTTTAAATTATAAAAGAACTTGTAATAAAATTTTATACACGTTTAGTTGTATGACCCCACCTCCAGCCAAGTTTCCTGTCTATTCTCGGTAGAATTTGCATCCCAAATTTGTCTAGAGAGCTATACATACTCTATTTATTTATTGTAATTTGATTGTATTTTTTACTAGAAGTATTATACTACAAAAAGTCGTTATCGTAAGTTCCTCAGAGTTGCTTGTTTCTTTTATACTACGTAGGTGGCAAACAATGTTTCAGTTGCCAAGCAGGTTGTTAAGCTGTGATTCTATTGTTGAGTCAGTTTAGGCAGTAAAATTACTAGATAAGAGTTATGACACAGTAATCTTGGAATGGCAATGTATGAGTGGAATCATGAGTGTCACACAGTAATGCGATGTCCGTAGTGTTGTTCTTGTATATAGGTGACGATTACAGCTTACCATCAGACAGGCTGTCAGCTTGTTTACCATTGCATTGGTAAACAAGCTGACAGCCTGTCTGAAAGCCTTAAAGAAGCTGCTGAAGCCTTAAATCTTATATTAAACAAATGTTATGTAAAAAGGCCTATTATAGCATAGATGAATTTATAGATGATAGCAATATCTATCAAGAATAAGTTTATTTGCGGACAATGTTATAATTTGTTTTTCATACTGCTTTCTTGATATATGATAGTGTAGCGGCTTTTAAACATTGAATAAAATAAAAAGATTTTTTCAATGTTTTTGCTAATCATTTTTTAATTGAAATTAATACCTATGTCCATTTATTTACCTTCCTTCCAGTTCTATCCACTAATTGACAGGCCAAAAACGATCCTATTATTTGGACGGCTGCGAGCAGAATTGATTGTTTATTTGGCGATAAAGCAATACTACTGCTGGGGTCCTTGCCGGCTTCTGCAAATATATGACTTGCGTAGACCAATACAGCAATGCAGCCGCAGAATTCCCTCGTCAGGTTCACTATCAGCGCCACCCAGAATGCCTTCACTGTTGTCTTGTCGGAGACTACAAAAAGCAAGGGTAACTTTTATTACCGAAGTAATTTTGTCGACATAATCAAAAGTATTTATTAAAAAAAAAATAATAATCTCATGACAATTCACACAGAGCCATCTAGACCCGAGTTAATCTAGCTAGAGCTTGTGTTATGGGTACTAGATAACTGATACATATACATAGATTTTTTTTTTGTAAATACATACATATTATACATAGAAAACACTCAGACCGATACAAACAATCATACTCATGAATACAAATGTTTGTGCCGTGTGAGGAATCGAACCCGCGACCATCGGTCGTAAATCGGTGTGCTTGACCACTAGACCACCGAGGTCGTCATATCAAAATAGGTAGATATCACACATCAAGACATACACATAATAAATACAATCCCCTCCGATCGTTCCCCCGTCCAATTCAAACGACAGTTTGAGCCAAGAAACCCCAAGCGGTGCCGTCGGACTAAAGTCGATCCGTCAGGCTGTAGTTGGCCTTCACCCGCTCCATAAGTCCTTCCATGGTCTTTTTTACGGATGATAATGCACCCGCCTGCGCTAAAGGATTACGCGTGCGGGGCACAAGTAGAGGATGATAAGATGAACATGAGGTCAGTTCAGTTAGCCCATCGTGACAAATTCAACAGAAATTTATCACGATGGTTTCCAGGGGGACCCGCATGGAGGTCAACCTAACATAGTACATTGCTATGTGGTCCACATTACTAACAACCTCCTCCCAAACGCCCCACCCCCCTTCCGCGGGTTTGGAGTGCTATCTGCACTCGCCCCCAATCGTCTGGTGAAGCTGTAAACTCCAGCTGCGGCCAACAGCATTAGAGTAAGCCAGAAAAAAATCTGCCGTAATATTAAAAGTTTATTAAAAAAATATAGATAATTTAATCAATGTTCTTAATATTACAAGAATGCAATGCTTGTATTATTTTTCCTGTAATAATTAATTACGGAAAAATTAATTTATAACGAGTTTTTGAGAAACCATTAAATTTAATTAATTTATTAATTTTTGAGAAACCAAAAAGCATACCAAGTTAGTCATATTTACTTAATATCAAGAAATTCCTAATTATATTAATGTTTACAATCTATTTCTTTTAATTAATATACAGTTGCAACTACACGAATTTACCTTAATTAATTATTATACAACAAAAATAAAATCCCGGATTTTTAATAGATAATTATGAAATGTTGTTACCGCTAATGATTATACGCTGGCGGGTCACATCAGAGGCAGATGAATTTACGAGAATAAAGTTAGTTAGTCACTAACTAGGATGTCTTTTATCTTCAATCTAAATGTTTAATTATAAGGTTTTTAAGAGCTAAGATATCATACCACCTGTTATTTCACTGCCGAATCTCATGCTTCAATCGAATCATACATATGTTACACCGAAGCCATTCTGCGGCTGCCTCAAATACAATTACACGTTATCGAAATAGATGACTTTGAACAAAGTCTATCTAGGGTAACATTTCATTCTAGTTACATAAAAAAACCACAGATTCTGTACAGAAATGGAAACGAGCCAAATCGGTCAAAAAGGCGCCAAATAATTACAAATGAGCATCGTGAACGCGTGCCGTAGATACGTAAATGGTATCGACATTGAGGTGCTATTAGGAAAAATGGAGGGAAATTTGCTATGACGTCATCGGGCACACGGATGAATTATGAATCATTCAATGAATATTTCTTATGTACTTATAAAGGTGCGTTGTTCTAGTTTAAGTACGTATTACATTAATTTTATAAACAATCTATTGAAGTAATTAATGTATAGAATAATAATCTTATAAATGCTAAAGTTTGTGAGTATGGATGGATGGATGGATATGTTACTCTTTCAAGCTAAAACGAAACGGAAACGATTTTGATGAAACTTTACAGTAATATAGCTTATATATTTGAATAACATGTAGACTACAAATTTCATACGGGTGAAACCGCATGTTTGTATAGATAACTAGAAGTATCAAAGTATTTATGTTAATCTAGAATATGGCGGATAAGACATAAAAAATACCACATTATTATATTATGAACATTTTTATAAAAATTAGATATATCCATATATTAATTTAAAAAAATCTAAAAATTATGTTTTTATAATACGACGTTGGTAAACAAAGAATAATAAAATAAAGAAATAAAGTAACAATACAAAATTTACATATGTTATTATCAGCTTATACGTACTGTCGTATGCTGTTATTTCCGCACGGTAAACAAAGTCAAATAAAGTCATATATGTATTATTAAATCCAATTTATTATTATACACGAAAACATGTCTATTAGCATAAAATTTATCTTACGAGTATGTAAATCGCGACACTACATAACTCCAGCCGCAACTTGATTAACTGTCAATTAAAATGACTCCCCATCGCTCCAACATCCCTGTATTCATCATGTGCAAAAACAAATTCTAACTCCATTCCACAGCTACTTAAATCCATAAATCCAATAGAACTACATACTACTATCTTTTTACTAAGTTTTTACTACCATTTTCTAATAATTGCATTGCCCATGTTGATTGCACTTTCAACTCTATATATTGACAGCGAGATAAATTAATAAAATGATACTGCATATTCTGTTTTCAATATTTTTTTATTGTTGTAATTTTGACATTTATATTTATTTTCTACACAAAATAAATGTAGGCTGCCAATCCTAACTGTCAATTTGCAACAGGCCATAAGAAAAAAGCCTCTAACCTACTTGAAAATCAGTGGTTTGCTTCTTGTAGCAAACAATACACTGAAATGCAGCCTTTTTGCGTATGGACGATGCACACACACTACATTTATTGTACCTATATTATATTTTGTTAACTGACCAATGTATATATCTGCTTCTTTTTACTTTACGTGCCTTGCGTGTGTGTGTAACGCAAATAAAAGTTTTATATATTTATCTCTGTATTCTCGCGGGACAACATCGTAATATTATCCCGTACAAAATGTAATATTATTGGTTATCATGTCCAGAAAAGATAAGAGAACGTAATATGATGTAGAACTACAGATAACATAATATTATATAGCAGAACTAATAATGTTTACAAATTATAATAACGTAAACTCGTGACGAGGCAAAATCTCTGTTTGTGTATTTGAATGCTCCATGTAAAAACGGCTGAAAATATTATGAGAAATTTTCGCAGCATGATGTTGCTAAATGGTGTAAAAAATCTTAGAAACAATCAAATAAATTTATATAAAATGATAATGACATTTGATAAATGCTGTACTTATTTTTATTGTTTGATTGTTATTGTCTAATATTTTAAAGAAGGTGTTACACATGAATGTAGATGGTTATGAGGGCAGTGGAAGGCCAAAAAAGAGATGGATGGACAGTGTGAAAGATGATATGGTAAGAAAGGGAGTAAATAACGAGACAACTGCGAACAGCGATGAATGGAAGAGAAAAACAAATTACGCCGACCCCAAATAAATGGGATAAGGAAGAAGCAGATGACGATAATTATTGTGAATAAATGTATCTACGACTGTATATGGGGACGAAGTCGCGTGCACAACTAGTACTTAATATAAACTTTCCAGAAGAAATCAGTGAGTTCTTGCACGAGAAATCAATAAGTTGAATCATAAACAGACTTATTGCGCCAATTAATGATTGTGAACTGATAAATTGTCCAATACTGTCCTTGTTCCCTGATCATTACTATCAATTCACCATTCATTTAATTCGGTTGCATTCATTGTATGGTGTCGAGAGTCAGGAGTCAAGTGTCTGACTCTAGACGCGGTCAATTTGTTTATTAACCTTGTTTGTTTTGCTTCAATGTTCCGTGTTGTTGTTATTATGTACCAACTCTATGTAATGTGATGAATATGTAACGCCTTCATATTTACACTGATTACATTGTTTATCCAGTACACAAGTTTGCTCTGTTGTAAGTAGTAGTTTGACCAATGGGATTGGCCAGTGAGACAAGTTTATCCAGTCGGATAAATTTAACCAGCAGCGCAATGAGCTTATTACGTGGGACAAGTTTACTTAGTTGAATGAGTTGCCAGTAAGACAAATTTGCCCAGTCGCATAAGTTGTTTAGTGGCACAAGTTTGCCCAGTGGCACAAGTTTGCCCAGTGGCAAAAGTTTGTCCAGTGGCATAAGTTTGCCTAGTGGCACAAGTTTGCCCAGTAGGACAAGTTTGCCCAATAGCACAAGTTTCCCCAGTGGCACAAGTTTGCCCAGTGGCATAAGTTTGCCCAGTGGCACAAGTTTGTTTAGTGGCACAAGTTTGCCCAGTGGCATAAGCATGCCCAGTGGCATAAGTTTGCCCAGTGGCACAAGTTTGCACAATAGCACAAGTTTGCCTAGTGGCACAAGTTTTCCCAGTAGGACAAGTTTGCCCAATAGCACAAGTTTGCCCAGTAGGACAAGTTTGCCAAGCAGATACGACATTGGCTTATCATGATGATTGAAGTACATATTTTCTATAAACATCTAATACAATTAGAGTACCATTGGATAATATACTTACAAAGCAATTTTGGCGAAAACTTGGGTTCGGTGGTTGTCCTTTCTAAAACAAGGCGGTCCACTTCCTCCATAACTGACTTGTCGTCTTCCGGCAATGATCTCAACCATGCCAGAACTCTAGCAGTTTCCTAATTGTAACAGAGATATTTTAATATGAAAAAATTGGATAGTGGAAATAGTAAGTAGTTAATTACAATCTGTACTACAATGGTATATGTATAAAAATATATCTCTACTTCTATGGTCAAGCAATGACTTGATTGTTATCTAATACTATGTAGAAGATTCTATTGGAAAGAAATTAAGCAAATTGCGCAGAAAACTGGAATGTTTCAAAAAACGACTACTCATTTTAACTTCGCACTTTTAACAGTTAGCGCTTCACTAATTAAGGATAATGACTGTCGTGTCAGCTAGTATATATAGTAGAAAGGGTAGATGATGAAATTTCAAAAATATGTTCTGCACCTGATTTTTTCCACACTTGATCAGATACGATGGGGTTTCCGGCAGTCGGAGCATTATGCAGAAATGTAATAGAGGTATAGCCAACAGAATCCATAGAACAGCGTTAAATGGCAGCAAATCGCCCAGAACAAACACAAGTAGATTGCCCATTGTCTGTGAATAAATAGATTGATAAATAATTATTCATCAATTACAGACACAAAAATATATGAACATATAAAAGGAATGGAGGTGACTTAAGTTAATATATAATTTTTATTTATTCATTAAATTTTTAATACCTAATTAAAGGTGCAAAACATGTCTTAACATTTTCCCCCAGTCGATAGGACTCCTTATTGATAACTACTAGCGGAATTTAGCCCATGTTACAAGTAACATACAACAAAAAATACAAGTATTTTTTTAATTTATCCATTACAAGCCAACATATAAAAAAGAAAAAATTCCTCTTTGTGTAGAAATTCGATAAACGTCTAATAAACTTATTACCGTTATTAAATTATTATCCAATTACTGCAATGGATTTATAAGTTTTTATGACGAGTATGAATAATCTGCAGAACAAAACAAGCATCGAGTCGAAACATTACGAAATTATTTATTTACTAGCCGCATTATTGCATGCGCCGATTCTGACCACCGTATTTCTCATAGTCTATATTTGCAAACTATTTATCAAAATTAATTAGTGTATAGGACAAAGTTTATCTAAAATCAACATCTATTTAATGCAATACGGGATAGAAAAAATATTCAGTATGAGGGATAAATTCAATATTTTTTCTCCATTTTCTCGATACTTATTAATATTATTCAATTTACATATTAGCTTTACATGTTATATTCTGATGTTTAAGCTATATTACTGTAAACTTCATGATAATCAGTATAGTAGTTTTTACGTGAATAGGCAACATACATTTAGTCATATATCTATCCATCGAAACAAATTTTCGGGTTTTAAATATTAGTAGGACATCGAGCATCGTTCTGAACCGTCCTTTTATTTTACTTTTGTTGTGTTTGGTTGTAACTTTGTTTGGTCTAAACAAATGTACCTTGTCATAATAATAATTTATTGATAATATTGAAAAATATTTGGAGTCGAGTGAGGATGGTGTAACTGTGACAAAGAACTAAAAGGGTTACATATGCTCAAGGCGCCTGATATAGTGTTATTAAATAACACATGTAAGGAATGACAATTGTCAAACTGTTTCCGATAAAGATCAGTAAACCTATTGACACAGGTGATGGTGAACGAAAAGGTGGCTATTCTTGACATAATGATTTGCGTTTTTTTTTTCAAATATTTGCTATGATGCTTAGGTATAGATAGGCCTCAGTCATTAATTTTATTTTATGAACCCTTTCATTAGTAATATCAAATAGCAACGCCTCACCGAATAATAAGTTAGTCTTTATACAAAGTCTTCTCAAAGTAGGTACCTTTATCACGCACATTTCAGCTGTCACCTTTTTTTAGAAATTAGCGATGATATTCAGTTGACATGATATGTACGGGACGTCACATGATATCATGATATCCTGATGCTATTTATGTATTATATATTGTTGGAGGAGTCGATTATCAAGAGCTTGTTCACCATTCCAGTTACAGAAAAAAGCACAGAAATATTAAATAAATCAATTTCTTTCATAAGTTCATTGTTTCCTAAGTTTTATTTTAATATAAAGTATTACAAATAAATATACTTTCATTGTCTATTTGATATCTTCGAGTTTTATTTTCATCACGAAAAGTAGCCTAGTTCTTCTAAAGTTTGTAAAAGTTAGTTCAATGGTTTTGTTATATACCTCAATATATTAGATATTAGAGTAAAATTCTTTTCACCAAAATTCTCGTAGCAACATCGCGGAAAAAATGTAAAAGTAAATTTATATAAATTTTCCTTAAGGAACTTAAAAAGTTTTTAAATAAAAACATATTTTCGGTGATAGAAATGTTGTTATCTTTGAGTCGTGATGTCATTTGTCTGATAAGGAAGGTCAACATCTGGCAAATTAATCGAGACAAGCGTCTTAACAAAATGACAAAAATGTCTGCTAAAGTTATTTAATTTCAACATATTTTTGTAACTTCAGTAAGCAAAGCTAACCGCCCACCTGATGGAAAGGGGAAATATTCTTATAAATTAATGTATTTATGTAACTGGTGTGATAGGCGATGCGCATATTGCAGGAATGGTGATAGTAAAACTGTATTTTTAGTTATAATGCGTTCAGAAAAAAAAATTACTTTATTTATTTTCAAAAACAAATATATTACTGTTTTTATTTATGTAATTGGTTCAGTAAATAATATAACGGTCCCTCTAATAGCAAGAAATAACCATCACCTATATACATGAAGTATCACGGCATTATATCATACAGTCATGTGACTCGTGGTACCATTCTGAAAGACTGTCTTATGCCGTTCACTGAAATTTCACATTTCTCGAATTTATGGTAAATTATTTAACGACAGAAATAGCGTAGATGACTTTCTACAAAGACTACATAATTACATAATTGTCTATGATTATTTAGGTAGTAGACAGCCTTGGATAGTCTTATTTCATGAGTATGATTATTTGAATTGGTCCTATCCGATATTATCCGACACATTTATTTCGGATTCGGTTACGGTTACGGATATTTTTTTATATCGGATATCCGATAGTTTCGGTTACGGTTACGGAGCTCCCTAACGCCATTGGTATACACATATGTATGATAATAATTTGTTTCAGTTCTTTGGTATCCATAACACAAGCTCTGCTTTGCTTGGGACTAGATGGCACTGCTGATTGTTAATTGTTATTATTATTTAGTAATATATTATACATACCTGAGAAAATATGATAAAAGTGCCCGTCATTCCTCGGATGCTGTCCTCGCTGATTTCCTTGACATACAAAGGGCAAACAACAAATCCACCACCTGATCCGAAGCCAATGAGGGCCCTGGCTCCAATCAGGGCTATAGGATGAGCACATATTAACTTGACAGCCCACCCGATCTAAAAAAATAGCCAAGTCTTCAATCAAGGAGCATAAACTTTGGAGAGCGCCGTAGTCGAGTAACTCGGTAGTATAACATAGACCATACGTCCGCGAGCTCGAATACACACATTATTTGCAGACAAACTTGTATCACATATTATTATAACTTTATCAAATATAAGTTTTTACCCTAATATAACTTTGTATCAGTTTATATTTCTGACTGACCAGTATTAGTAATCACCGATTATTCCGATGGCGGGAGATCTAAGTGCGTTCAACATGGCACCATCGATAGTTGAAAATGATTATTCAAACATATAGGTTATTCGCACCCCCTAGAGGAGTGCAGGTTGGGGCCTCGGGGCGAACCCCTTAGCCTCGGCATCGGCCCCGGAGGCCACAATCCACGGGTACTTATCTGGATCAAAGCCTCTTCATAAGCAGATTATTTATTAGACTAACTATAGCTAGGTATTTACAATTATCATTAAACTTAGCCTAATATATATATTGAATAAACATTAATAACGAAAAAAATACGAATTCGAATATAAATCCGGAAGTTTTTTTTTATAACACAGGGGACAAACGAGCATGCGGCTCACCTGATGGTAAGTGATTACCGCCGCCCATGAGCAGCCGCAACACCAGGGGAATTGCAAGTACGTTGTCGGCCTTTTAAAAAGGAATAAGCTCTTTTCTTGAAGGTTCCAATATCGTATCGGTTCGGAAATGCCATTGCTGGAAGGTGATTCCACAATGTGGTTGTGCGAGGCAAAAAGTTTCTAGAAAACCGCACTGTGGAAGACCGCCATTCATCCAGATGATCAGGATGGTATTTTCGTTTCTGGCGGGTGGTACGGTGGTGAAACTCAGCAGCTGGTATTAATCCGAACAACTCCTCAGAACACTCCCCGTGATATATGCGTTAGAAAACGCACAGAGTTGCAATTTCACTCCGCAAAGCCAATGGGTCGAGTCTGTCACATAGACGTTGATTACAAATGATTCTGGCTGCTCGGTTCGGAATGCGGTCAAATGGAAGTAGCTGGTATTGTGGTGCTCCCGCCCAGAGATGAGAACAGTATTCCATGTGCGGCCGGATCTGCGCCTTGTATAATTGCAAGCGATGGGCCACCGTGAAATACCGTCTCACTCTACTGAGCACACCAAGCTTTTTTGAGGCTATTTTAGCCTTGTCCTCCAAATGACCGCAAAACTGGATATATCAACGCCAAGGACCTCGAGATTTGGCTTCACATATTACACATTAGATGGCGGTAGGCTCGCGATCTGCGGCACAGCGAAATGTATGCGTGTTAAGTCTTGTTTACTACTACGTCGATAATCAACAATGAATCTGATTACGGTATTTAGGATAGTGGTCGGAAAATTAATAAGTATTTAGATTTATTAATCTGTTTTATAATATTTTTTTAGAGATTTTCTCTGCTGAAACTACAATCCGAACTGTTGGACTTCAAGGCCTGTATTACTACTAGCTTCTAATAAATAAATATAATTAAAGATGTACTTACAGCAATAGGAATAGAGGCACATAAAAGTGCATTTTTCCTCCCAAATTTATCAGCCGCTACCCCATAAATGAAGACGGCTATGGGGGCAAATATGAACATGATTGATGCCATCCACGATACCTCCTCTTCCGATGAGGGTTTGTCTGAAGGACTCAGATCTCCCATGAGGAGAGCTTTGTTGGGAGATATCCAGCCCATAGCGGTTCCGTACGCCAAAATCGGCATACATACTGTAATAGAAGTACATTTACGATAATTTACATAGTCTTAATTCAAACCTTGGATTTACTACTTAGATTTTCACAGGTACATTATATTTATTTATTTGAGACTACTAGGCCCATATTATAAATATGTAGTCACGGCACTGACGACAGTAATCTGACGTGGTAGCGCCGATACACCACATCCTTCAGCCAGTAGTTCTCCTTAATAAAGGTTAGCAGAATATTTCTGGGGATCCGGGCCACAAACGTCTTGAAACTCGCGTTCTGACTCGACTCCAGCTGCGTCACGCTCAATGTCAGGTACTCATGGTTTGTATATAATCGACAATATCCTAGTCCTTAGTAGCGTAATGTAGACTGGACAGGTACATAGGCGTGGTCGGTGTAGCAGCAATAATATATGATAGAGCTGTATAACTTAATCCATGTATCTTAATATTATAAATGTGAAAGTTTGTGAGTATGGATGGATGTTTGTTACTCCTTTACGTAAATATTACTGAACGGATTTTGATGAAACGTCACAGTAATATAGCTTATGCATCGGAATAATAAATAGGCTATAATTTAAATAGATATTATGTAAATTAAGCGAAATATAAGTAAGTGTGATGCAGACGAAGTTCCGCTGGTCGGCTAGTTAGTTATACATATAAACGTTCGGAACAAATTTACGTAATGACAGTAAAATAGTGAAAATTTAAAACAGCGATTTTTTTTTCACCGGATGAAAAATGAAGTGAGTGAAGACGATATTCTAAATCTAAAGAAGGACTTATGGAGCGGCTTTATAGGTACTTTTAGGATTAGTAGCGTATACATTATATACATTTTTTAATGGCAAGAAAGACTTAAATGCCAAATTTTCGATTAAGTACATAATAGCTGTAGCCATACTGAAAACTAATAAAATAAAGTTAACAAAGAATAAAATTTCTATTTCATTAAACAACTCAAATTATGTAATATCAGAGATGGTCTGTATTTTCTACTCAAGTTGTTATTTCATCGGATAAAAAGTAACGCCATTTTCAAAGATTGTCTAGATTAGTCCTTACCATTGCTTATTTTTTTCTAATGGAACAGATCACAGTTTAAAGCGTAAAATTTTGATAATTTAAAAAATCGAAGTATTCCAATACAATCGAAGTAAGTACTTTTTATTAATGTAATTGAAATAACAAACAGACTGACGGTCCATCAGATGGTAAGTGGTAACCTATACATGAACAGCACTGCGGACATGATGTTAACATGTCATCACTTATGCGTTATCACGAATAATAATAATAAATAACCCTAGACAATTAACACAGCGACATCTAGTCCAAAGCAGAGCTTGTGTTATGGATAGTAGACAACTAATATTAGGTAATAATAATATATAATCCTGGACAATTAACACAGCGCCATCTAGTCCCACAGTATGGAGAGCTTGTGTTATGGGTACTAGACAAAGATATTAGATTAGTATATACTATTATTAGATATTATTAGATACAAACAATCATACTCATGAATACAAATATTTACACCGCTACACCACTGAGGCAGCTATCGCAAAGGAATAAGATGTCAGGCTTCCATATCCTAGTAATTTAACATCCTTGATTCATTTCCCTACCCTTCAAACAAAACATACAGCCTGGCTGGGGAAGGAAATACTTTTTTCAAATTCTACTTCTGACTTTCTAAAATCATTAGTTTTAATGGAATATAATTATGATAAACATATAAGTGTGTTTCTGTATATATGTGTGTGCTTTTACATGATTAGGAAGGTTCCTCGTGTAAATTCATGTATTAACCAAATTTATCCACATACATTTGCACAGACATGTGATTAAATAAAGAAATATAAATAAAGAAGTGCGTGTTTTAATTTTAATCATTCGGGTACAATAAGATGTTTCACGTATTGGCAAATAATTACTATTATATTATTTAAATGGGCTAAATGTTAACAAAAAATTTACGTGTGTGCGTAAATTTAATTTCCGAATTGTTCTGTTGTAATATTGTCCATTTGCGTAAATATATATCGACAAATATAAAACATTATTAATATCTACTCGTGTATTGAATAATACCAATGACGTCATATCACTAAAAGATGGGCGGTTGTTTTTCGAAATGAAAGACTCTTTGGAATTTACAGCAATAATTATGTTTGCATGGTAATGTAGCTTATTATTTATTTTCGTAAGCCGTATTCCGCCAGACTATTTTAAAAAAAGTATTTAATAGTATTAAAAAAATTATTGTATGTGGAGATTTTAACGTTGATATTCTTTGTAACATACCCACATGTACAAAATTTATTAGTTTATTTCAGTCGTTTGATTTATGTCATGTCTTTCATGAACCCACTCGTGTAACTGCCACGTCTGCTACTTGTCTTGACAATGTTTTTTTGTAACTGCGAGTATACAGAAAAATTCATAATAAATAAACTTCCTTCAGATCACTGTGGTCAAGTTGTTAAGTTTAGCAGTCAAATCAATAAAGTCAACAATAATAAAAAATCAAAAAGACAAATAAATGTTTACAATATTAATAAATACAAAAGCGCGATTAAAAATAAATTGGATTTGCTGTTACAATCTAGTAATAATCCTGATTATCTTTACACCAAGCTAATCAATATTTTATCCGGAGAATATGAACAATTTTTCAAGAAAAAAGAAGTTCATGTTAAATCTAAATTCACGGAATGGGCAACAGTAGGAATACTTAAAAGTAGAAATATTTTGTTTGATTTATACGATCAAAAAAAATATCGATTTGATGACAAATTCACCACTTATGTGAAAAATTATTCTAAAATTTTTAAAAAAGTTTGTATTATGGCTAAGTCTAATTATTTTAATAAACAAATTAAGCAGTCTTCTGACAAAATTAAAACCATCTGGAGCATTATAAATAAAGAAACTGGAAGATCTAAAATTCCAGGCTATGTAATCAATTTACATTAAATTATGATAATAAATTAATAACAACAACAAAAGATGTAGTTAATATTTTTGAAGATTTTTTTGCTAATATTCCGATTGATATTACATCTTCTCTGGACTCATCTCAATCTCGAGCAAAAAAATTCCTGGAGACTAATATCGGTTGTTGTTCTTTAAGATTTAGATTTTCACATGTTAGCCCCTTTCATATCATAAAAATATTCAGACAGCTAAATTGAAAAAATACTGAAGACCTTTGGGGCATGTCTGTAAAAGTAGTTAGTTCTTTCATAGATATTGTTGCTCCATATCTAGCCACTATTTTTAATAAATGTATTGATAATGGCGTTTTTCCACATTTAATGAAATTTAGCAAATTAATCCCACTATTTAAATCAGGAGATAAATTTGAGCCCGGGAACTATAGACCTATATCTATTTTGCCAGTTCTAAGTAAGGTGTTTGAAAAGATAATGTTAAATCAAATGTTACAACACTTCAGGGTTAACGGACTGCTTCACAGTCAGCAATATGGTTTCACCGCCGGCAAGTCTACCACTGACGCAGGTGTTGCGCTAATGACACATATTTTCGAATCTTGGAAGAAGTCACAGGATGCACTCGGAGTTTTTTGTGACCTATCAAAGGCATTTGATTGTGTGGATCATAAAACGCTTTTGTACAAGCTCGAACATTATGGTATAAGAGATAATGATCTAAAATTAATGAGAACTTATTTAGAGGATAGGGTCCAAACTGTAGATATTGACGGTGTAAAATCTAAGGGAGCTAATATTAAGATGGGCGTTCCACAAGGGTCAATCTTAGGCCCCATTCTCTTTTTAATCTACATAAATGACCTTCCCTTTATGGTAGAGAAAATTGCAGATATAGTGCTGTTTGCGGATGATACTTGGTTAGTATTTAAAATTGGACGTCAAAGTAATCAATTAGACGATGTAAATTGTGCTATGTCTGCAATATTAAATTGGTTTACATGTAATAACCTATTATTAAATTCCAGCAAAACAAAGTGTATAAAATTTACACTTCCTAACGTAAGACTAATAAATACACAGTTATTGCTTAATGACGAAATAGTAAATTTTGTTAATGATACAGTTTTTTTAGGTATAACAGTGGACTCGATATTACAATGGGGGCCCCATATTTCAAAATTGGCCAGTAGACTCAGTTCTGCTGCATATGCAATTAGAAGAATTAGGCAATTAACAGACGTGGCGACGGCTAAACTTGTATATTTTAGTTATTTCCATAGCATAATGTCTTATGGCATACTGCTGTGGGGTAAAGCAGCCGATATAAATACTATATTTGTTTTACAAAAGAGAGCCATACGTTCTATTTATGGTATGGGTTCAAGAGAGTCATTACGTCAGTGCTTTAAAGACTCAAATATCCTCACCGTTACTTCACAATACATTTATGAAAATATTATGTATACACGGAAGAACTTAGAGAGTTTTAAAAAACTCAAAGACTGTACAAGTAGAAACTTACGCAATATAAATAAGCTTATTTTACCTAAATGCCGTCTGCACAAAATCAGTAATTCATTCTATGGTAATTGCATAAGATTTTATATTAAACTGCCAGAATCTGCATTAAATCTGACAGAGAGGCAATTCAAATCTTATATTAAACAATTTTTATGTAAGAAAGCCTATTACAGGATAGACGAATTCATAGATGACAACATATCAAGTAAATAATTAGTTTATTAGCATACAACGTTATAATTTTATTTTCTCATTGCTTTCTTGATTTAATTGATTGATTTTAGAAATATGAAAGCGTAGCGGTTTTTGTATTAATTGCCGCATGCATTCTTATGTAAAATGTGAATACTATAACTATCAGATGGCAATTGTGATTAGCTTTGACGTGGTCTAGTGTTTTGAGTAGTCATGCTCACTAAAATGTCCAGACTTGTGGCGGCGTGGTGGGCCGGGTCATTGGGCTCCCTAAAATATGGTCGAGCGCAGTGATGGCTGGCTCATCCGTCATACTCGTGAACGGGTGCTGCTTGTAGGGACTGGTCTGCTCTAATCACTATGACTGATTTCCTCTTATTAATTGTTTAACCAGTTGGTTATGTATTCAATATTTTTCTTTTTGAGTATTTAATTGAATTAGTGCTAATTGGTGGTTTGTATTCACACACATAAACTTAAAAATGTAAAGTAATAATAAAATTATTTAAAAGAGCAACTTCTTCTTCTTGCTCGTTCTTCTTGTGATGAGACAGCTTTCCGAACGAGCGGTAGATTAAAAAAAAATGTAATGTCTATTCAAAAGTGCTTCAATGTAAGTTTATTTGAATAAATGGTTTTCTATTCTATTCTATTCTATTCTACTATATTTATGAATTAATTAAGCATCACCATTAAGTTGTTTATTACATTTATTGTAAAAAAAAGTTTTATTAATTACATTTATGACGAAATAACTTTTGACGGTGAATAAAACGAATATTACAAATGGTATGTTTATGATGGGGTAATTTGATTTTGTGGTAGTCGTAACTTGTATATGTATGTAATAGTCGTCTGCGGATACTTTAATCTCCTCTAAATTAGCCTCTAAGCAGTTTCCTTTATATTTTGGTTGAAGGGCAGCAAAATTACAAGATATAGAAGCAGTTTTAACCCCTGGATATCTGTATTGGTTTTGTTATTATAAATTTATTATATTTATATACTTAAATACTTCTTACATAGTAAAACTGTTTATATCTCAAATAAAAATAAAATAACTAAATATAACATCGTAATCCTCTGGTATGATGACGCATTAATATTATTACTGGTATTACATTATTTACAGTGTATCTTAAAAATACGTTAAATTAATAAAAGAAACATTACACACACTACCATGCGATTTACTAACAGATACATATACGCATGTTATTGACAACAGAACATTAGTAATATATATAAATTGACACGTACAATGTATCTCCTATTAATACCACAAATTGTTTGAATAGATGTACTAATTGGAAAAAGATAAAATAAAAATTAGGTCATTAATTTTACATTAAAAATCAATCGTGTTCACGTGCCATCGCTACATTAAACTGAGATGTAAAGCAATCAAATGTCAATCAATTTAAGTTATAATCGTTTTCCAATTCAATAATTATGAGTACATTGTGTAATAGGATGCAATAAAGTGTAATATTTTGCATAAAAAATGCAATAATTTATTAAAAACAAGCTACCCACTCCGGGTTCGCACAGGTGTACATTTATTATATATATAAACCTTTCTCTAGAATCTCTCTATCTATTAAAAAAACCCGCTTCAAAATCGTTGTGTAGTTTTAAAGAAGGGACAAACATCGCAGCGATTTTGTTTTATACTATGTAATAATGATGATAAACATTACTTGTCATAATGTAATGGCAAATATAGATATTTACTTCTCTGGACGTTTCGACTAGGTTTCTCTAGCCGTGGTCATGAACTGTATCGCGAAGTTAATGTCGCTGCCCGAAGTTTTTCAACTATCATCATAGATTGTCTACAGAATCATCGCGACATTCAGCACATACAGTATCCGTACTTATTGTGACTGTATGGAACTTTAACTTAGTATTTATTACTTAGTGGAATGGTAGAGGATAATTTTAAGCAATCTTTTTATTCTTTTATCATCATCATTGGTATTAGCCAGGCGTTAAGATAAAGTTAATCCGTCCGACATAGTTAAACTTTGTTATTGCGTGTCCAGTCAAAATAAACGGTGCACGGCTTGTCCGGCTTATGTTAGGCTTTTTACATTATTGTTATTGTAAATTAATTATTATTTTTATTGTTTAACTTAAAGAGAAAAAGTTTTGTTATGTTTAGATTATTTTTTTATTTTGTTTATTTTTTTAAGTAACATCAAGTAAATAATTTAGATGTATTTAAGGAGTTTTTTTAAATGTTCATCTAGAATGTTAGAATTTATTTTCGACTGATTAATAATAAAGTACTATTTGGCATACGATTTTATTTATTACATTACAAGTTAACATGATTTATGGTAATAAATAAAAAAGCTTAATTATACTTAAAAAAATGACGTACTGAGACACAATTAATTAATAAGTTGGCTGGTCTGTCCGGCTGTTAGGTTTGGCGACCTGGCAACCCTAGTTAGTAACCTACTTTACAAATCTTTACCTTTCTTTATATCTTTCGTTAGACAATTTAGTGAAGGTAGTTAAAAGAACTGTATTCCGGTTTGAAAAATGATTACGGATTATGGTAGGACGGTACCTAGTCGTCAAGTATACGTGATCACGGCCGTCAGAAGTGAGAAATAACGATTGTCATATTTAAATAAATCAACAGAAAAGTTTACAATTTCCGCTGTGTAATAAATATATAGTACTTTAAAAAGGATATAAAGCGAGGAATGAAGCGTAACCAATTGAAACCTCTGAGTTATTGTCAAATCTACATACATAATACTTCCATTGTTGTCTAGGTATTCATCATAGCAAACCAATTACTCTTCCAATTCCAAACTAGAGTATGTCTGTTGCTATACTACCCTAGTGGTTAGATGTAATAATAATAAAGACATTCAGCATTATATCAGTATTCTTATTAACAATAATATGAACTATATAACTTTAAAACTGTTTTAGTTGTAAAGTTATATAGTTAATATTCTTGTATTATACTAGTAACGCTGAATGTGACTCCCACTCAGCATTTATACTATAGTACACCGGACTAAGATTTTTCATATGATATACTAGCTGTTTCTATTTACTAATTTAACTTTATTTTTCTAAAATAAAAGTAGCCTAAGTTACTCCTTATTACATCAGCTACCTGCCAAAAAAAGTTCCGCCAAAATCGGTCCAGCCATTTCAGAGATTAGCCGGAACAAACAGACCGACAGATAGACAGACAAAAATTGTATAAAATGTTATTTTGGTGTTTGTACCGTGTTTATATTCATATGCATGTAGTAAAAAACGATTATTTTAATATTACACACCAATTTTATTTATATGTATAGATTAGTGACAAAAAGATGTATAATATATTATGTCACACTGCATTACTATATAAACAATAATTATATGGTTATTAATAATAATTATTCGTAATATTGAATGATTTGTGTCACAATGTGTATAGTATTAACATAAACTTACGTGGTTTTTACATACAATTTTTGTTAATATTTTTTAAATTTCTAATAAAAAATACGTAACATTATATCCTACGATTATATTTTATAATTACATCCCAATTCTATATATTATAATTATATCCTAGGGCAATATCGCATTATTTTAAAATTGGACTCAATAATAATTTATTCTTTTTTGCATTATTAAATAATACTATATTATTATTATATAAATAAAAAAAATATATGTAAATATTATCTACATCATAGTTATATTTAAATGAATGAAATGTACTTGACTTTGTATATACTATGTATATTTACATAGTATATACAAAGTCGCTGCCGCTTTCTGTTTTACTTATATCTTTTGAATTACACACATTTTAATGCAGTTTTTAGCAATAGATAGACTAGTTTAAGAGGAAGGATTATATGTATAATACATGCGTGTAAACCGAGAAATTTAAAGATTTCTAGTACACCTGTGCGAATCCGGGACGAGTCACTAGTATTAAACAAATAGATTTTTATTTAATTGTAATATATTATTAAATTAAAAATGTAACAATAATATTAAACTTATTTATATATTACTCACCAACTATAGACATCAACACTTGGTTATGTTTACTCCCATTGTTGTTTTTGTTTGTATTTATTTTATACACCTTATTCACCATTTTGTTAAAATAAACAGTACTCTATATAAAATCGAAGTAAATAATAATAAAACTTCACAGTTATTTAACTAATTAAAGTATAAAATTCTCTAATAACGTGTTTGTTTTAAATAAATATAATGTTTATTTACTGTTTTAGATGCATCGTAGTTCATAAACAACTACTAGTTACTGATTTATGATACGTCGCGTGTTGTCACTTGCGCGTGCGCACTAAATCAGTACAAAAATCTTCCTGCTTTTATAAGATCATATCGGGCTAATGGACTCGGGGGATAACCATTCGATTGTAGTGTTTTATCAATGATGCACAATTTTAAGTGAAACCTATAAAAATATTACTTTGTTTGTCTATTCTAGTCTTAAGTCTTCAGAAACTATTAATAAAATATTATTGGAAATGAAAAAAAAATTAAATATTTTACTTTCATTGCATGAGATTCCGTTTATGTATTAAAAGGCGTGTGACACAAGAAGAGAAATATTTCTCAAAATTAATTGCATCTTGACAGATATTTTAATCATTTATTTATTTTATTAGAATAACAAATCCATGGAATGCCTTTAGCACATAAAAAAACCAATGTCTTGTTTATCTCTTTAAAAAACTATATTATGCGTTCCAATTGAACAAAAGGATTTATCTTATATATAAAATTCTCGTGTCACAATGTTAGTTACCATACTCCTCCCAAACGGCTTTATCGATTTTTATGAAATTTTAGATGCATATTCAGTAGGTCTGAGAATCGGCTACTATCTATTTTTTATACCCCTTTATATATATTTTTTTTTTATTTTTTCGACACAATATTTTATTTTCATTTTATTATTATTTAGGATTGAAAAATACTACATACAACCCTAAATTTTCACTCTTCTAGTATCAACAAATATTAGAATGTAATGATAGAAAATCGAATGTAATTCCTCACTGCACTTCCAATGGTCTTTGATTTAATTTATAATATTTAAGAATTTAAATTATATGGTTTAAGATTAGCCAGCCAACTGTGTACGATTTATATTCGTCTATACGTATGCATGCTATACGTACGTATGCATGCATGCTATGCATGCAGTCAGAAAAAATGATGTTTTTAACTTAATTACATATAGTTCTTAACAAATTATGAAAGGCCTTGTAACTATTAAAATTAATCTTTTTTTATAATTATGTCATACAAAATAATTAATGTCTGTTAAGGATGTAGTGGAGTGGCCATGTCATTATTAACTTGCTGCGTCCATCAAGGTCCAGAGTGCTCTTATAATAATACTAGCTGTGCCTGCGATTTCATCCGCGTGAAATTTATAGTCTATGTGTTATTCTGATGTGTAAGCTATATTTTTGTAAAGTTTCAATAAAACCCATTCGGTAGTTCTTGAAAGAGTAACAAATATCCATACAGTCATCCACAGTAGCAAACTTCCACTTTTATAATTATTAAGATTATGTGAACCCTCGTTGTAACATAATGGAATGTATTTTGGTAGTTTTGTATTACTAGACATTATTAAATACAATTATTATTTCTAGGTAACTGTGTCCCATAGAATGCAAATGAATCTTATTAATAATAAAAACGCGATAGTTTGTGAGTATGAATGGATCTTTGTTACTCTTTCACGCAAAAACTACTAAACGGATTTTGATGTAACTTTACAGTAATATAGCTTATACACCATAATAACATATAGACTATAAATTTTACGCTGGAGTAACCATAACGGGCATACCTAGTAAATAAATAAATAAATATTGTTTTGTAAGTTCATGATGACTCTACATGAAAATACTACATACCTACAAAAATAAATTAATGCTAAATATTTTACTTATTCTGAACCATTCGTTTGTGATTTGGGTAGTCACTAGGTCGTAATTATTTAAAATTTAATTTGAATTCCTAGAATACATTTTTCATTCGAAATATTTCTTTACTATGTTTTGAAATATTTCAATTTTCGTAGTACTGTACTAAATATGGAAAACCCGTGCTGATATTATTTAGCGATTTGAGTAATTAGTGTGCTGGTTTAAATTAACCAACTTTATAAAAGTTCTCAATTAGTCTACGTAATGATTCGTTTTTGCAACTGTGTTTTCCCTTATGTCGATAACGATATTACTTTTGAATCTTTTTCTTTTTAATTCTGATAAAAATATTTTTTTAAAGATGTTTTAGTCCAGTTGTGCTACTAGATATACAATCTAAAGGTCATCATTTACATCTTCCGTATTCCATTTATTTGGGGTAGCCGTTATATGTTTTTCTTTTCTATTTATCTCTGTTCGCAGTCATCTCGTTATGTACTCCATTCTAAAGGTCGTGAGTTCAAATGTCGTTAAACACAAAATATTGGATCAAAACACTTTTTTAAACGTCAATTTATATTTTAACTGCCTCTCCATTGATTGATAAACCGATTAACAAATCAAAATGATTCCGAAGGACGGCGCTAAGCTCATACCCCATCACGTTGGATTCAATTATACCAAATTTTAAATGTTGCGTCCTCCATGTTGTCGAGAACTGACTACGCCTCTGATAACCCCATCTGTAGTAATAGTCATAAAGGCAGGTATCATAATGGGATATTAAATAAACAATAAAAAATAATAACAACAGTTACTTTTAAACTTTCGTGTTTAATATACATTATTTAAATTATTAGTCGGGTCTTAACACAAATAATTTTATGGCAAATAAAGGTATTTACTTCTCTGGACGTTTCGACTAGGTTGCACTAGCCGTGGTCACGAGCTGACTGGGTGAGAGAGGTAAATACCTTTATTTGCCTTGTATCTATTAATACTGAGACACAATTAATTAATAAGTTGACTAGTCTGTCCGGCTGTTAGGTTTGGCGACCTGGCAACCCTAGTTAGTAACCTACTTTATAAATCTTTACCTTTCTTTATATCTTTCGTTAGAAATTTAGTGAAGGTAGTTAAAAGAACTGTATTCCGGTTTGAAAAACGATTACGGATTATGGTAGGACGGTACCTAGTCGTCAAGTATACGTGATCACGGCCATCAGAAGTGAGAAATAATTGTCATTTTCAATGAAATCAACAGAAAAGTTTCTAATTCTAATTTCCGCTGTGTAATAAATATATAGTACTTTAAAAAGGATATAAAGCGTAACCTATTGAAATCTGTGAGTTATTGTCAAATCTACATACATAATACTTTCATTGTTGTGTAGGTATTCATCATAGCAAACCAATTACTCTTCCAATTCCAAACTAGAGTATGTCTGTTGCTATATAACCCTGGTGGTTAGATGTAATAATAATAAAGACATTCAGCATTATATCAGTATTCTTATTAACAATAATATGAACTATATAACTTTAAAACTATTTTAGTTGTAAAGTTATATAGTTAATATTCTTGTATTATACTAGTAACGCTGAATGTGACTCCCACTCAGCATTTATACTATAGTACACCGGACTAAGATTTTTCATATGATATACTAGCTGTTTCTGTTTACTAATTCAACTTTATTTTTCTAAAATAAAAGTAGCCTAAAGTACTCCTTATTTCATCAGATACCTGCCAAAAAAAGTCCCGTCAAAATCGGTCCAGCAATTTCAGAGATTAGCCGGAACAAAAAGACCGACAGATAGACAGACAAAAATTGTATAAAATGTTATTTTGGTGTTTGTACCGTGTTTATATTCATGTGGATGTAGTAAAAAACGATTATTTTAATATTACAAACAGACACACCAATTTTATTTATATGTATAGATTAGTGACAAAAAGATGTATAATATATTATGTCACACTGCATTACTATATAAACAATAATTATATGGTTATTAATAATAATTATTCGTAATATTGAATGATTTGTGTCACAATGTTTATAGTAGGTATTAACATTAACTTACGTGGTTCTTACATACAATTTTTGTTAATATTTTTTAAATTTCTAATAAAAAATACGTATCATTATATCCTACGATTATATTTTATAATTACATTCCAAGTCTATAATTATATCCTAGGGCAATATCGCATTATTTTAAAATTGGACTCAATAATAATTTATTCTTTTTTGCATTATTAAATAATACTATATTATTATTATATAAATAAAAAAAATATATGTAAATATTATCTACATCATAGTTATATTTAAATGAATGAAATGTACTTGACTTTGTATATACTATGTATATTTACATAGTATATACAAAGTCGCTGCCGCTTTCTGTTTTACTTATATCTTTTGAATTACACACATTTTAATGCAGTTTTTAGCAATAGATAGACTAGTTTAAGGATTATATGTATAATACATGCGTGTAAACCGAGAAATTTAAAGATTTCTAGTACACCTGTGCGAATCCGGGACGAGTCACTAGTATTAAACAAATAGACTTTATAAAAATAAATAGATTTTTATTTAATTGTAATATATTATTAAATTAAAAATGTAACAATAATATTAAACTTATTTATATATTACTCACCAACTATAGACATCAACACTTGGTTATGTTTACTCCCATTGTTGTTTTTGTTTGTATTTATTTTATACACCTTATTCACCATTTTGTTAAAATAAACAGTACTTAATATAAAATCGAAGTAAATAATAATAAAACTTCACAATTATTTAATTAATTAAAGTATAAAATTCTCTAATAACGTATTTGTTTTAAATGAATATAATGTTTATTTACTGTTTTAGATGCATCGTAGTTCATAAACAACTACTAGTTACTGATTTATGATACGTCGCGTGTTGTCACTTGCGCGTGCGCACTAAATCAGTACAAAAATCTTCCTGCTTTTATAAGATCATATCGGGCTAATGGACTCGGGGGATAACCATTCGATTGTAGTGTTTTATCAATGATGCACAATTTTAAGTGAAACCTATAAAAATATTACTTTGTTTGTCTATTCTAGTCTTAAGTCTTCAGAAACTATTAATAAAATATTATTGGAAATGAAAAAAAAATTAAATATTTTACT